AAAATTACTTTACTAATTATAGAGTAGTATAATTACAATTTATAAATTAATTGAAATCATGTCCGATAACCTCGAAAAAATCATAGTTACAATTAAAGAAGTTTCTATTTAAAAATAGACGATTGAAGACGACAAAATTATGCTAAATTATAATTAGACTTTTTANAAAATTACTTTACTAATTATAGAGTAGTATAATTACAATTTATAAATTAATTGAAATCATGTCCGATAACCTCGAAAAAATCATAGTTACAATTAAAGAAGTTTCTATTTAAAAATAGACGATTGAAGACGACAAAATTATGCTAAATTATAATTAGACTTTTTACAATTAAAAGAAATTTTAATTATTACGCCAAGAAAGTATACTCATATAATAAACGAATAACTTATCTTACCTTACAAATTTTATCTAAACATTTAAAGAAGTCATTCTTGTTGAAGTTTTGCCAATGTAACTCTTACTTTTTGTAAAACCCCAGTCATCTGTTCGTACTTACCTGTGGAATCCGGCAGATTTTCGAAGTTGATCACGTCACAAATATTTTTGGAAAATTTTTCAGATGACGGTAACCTGCTATACGGAGAAGAGCTCTGCAAGATAGGCGTACCTAGGTCAACCGACTTTACGCTCCCATGACTTGAATTCAACGAGCTTCTACGATGTTTACTTGATTCTGACATCGTTTCATTAGTGGGCGGTGGCATCTTTGATTTCGATGTAGAATCTGCAGCATTATTTTTCGATAAATCATCAGAATTGGACTGTGAACTGGATTCGTGAAGCTCTACGAGTAATCGTTTTTTCATATTTTCCAAGTCATATAATGACGGTGAATATCCTCGAGACGACGGTGATGCACTATTTTCCTGTAACATTTTATGTAACTAAGTTCTTATTTATATAGTTACCATTTTTACTAGATTAACAAAGTGGTTTATTAGAAGGTTATTGTGATTTTATACCGGTGATTGTAATTCCTGCGAATGATAATCTGAATCCTCACATGGGATCTGCGTCGGTGGCAGTGGTGGTTCTGGTGGCTTTGTGGCTGATTCTGGTGGTAATGGAGGTACAAAAAGTCCATTAACAGGTAGACACTCTACTACACCTTCTGTTAAAAGAAAAATATATATCTCTCTATGTGTGTGTTTTTACTAGATTAATATTAATTGTGTAATTTAATATATATTATAATTTTTTTTTCTTATATTGATTTCACAATTATAGGAAAAGAATGGTAGAGAAGGTATACCTTCTACATCTTCTATCTCCATCTCTGTGGACTCTGGTGCCAGATTGCTTTTTATACCATCATTAGACATTTTGAGCTTTTTCCTTTTATAGCCATCATCCGCCTTTTTTCCTTTGAGCATCATCAACATTGTTTGTTTACTATGAGCAGCCTGCATCGGTGATTCCCAATATTGTCCATTTTCCTATTATTTGTAATAAGTTTCCACCAAATGAGGTTTAAGAAAATACAGTATTTTCACTCATTAGATTGTCGTATCTGTAGGTTGCTTACATCTCGTGTACCAGATGGAGGTGGTACATTAAAACCAGGGAAATCATATATCTTTTTTATATCGTATTGATCTCTATCTCCAGATTCAAAAAGTTCTCCTGGCTCTGCATGAGAATCGTCTTCTGCGATACCGTCTGAATTAAATAATGATATACCAGAGTGTTGTAAGCATGCCTCCTCCAACCACCCTGGGGGATATCCAAGTTCTCTCATTCTACAAAGAACATTGTAGTATATAAAAAGCACAGAAAGTATTAATACCATGTTAAGACAGTATTTTTTAATAAATTTATTTGTATAGTAGTATTACTTGTATTCATCAATTACATAATAGTAGATTTTCAGAAAAATAATAATCACCTGTATATATGCATGGGTAATTCATTTTCTCTGAGGCCTAGAGCTTTACGTAAAGTACTACTTAAGTGACCAGGAATACAATGACCAAATTTTTGGTCATCTTCTAAATGATACCTAAGAGATCTCATGTTTCCACCTTTTATATTGAAATTTCTTTTATTTTTATTAATTGCAACTTGATTGCGTGGTTTCGGACAATCTCGTAGATTATGATTATCCAGACAATTGAAACACATTAATTTTGGTGAATAAGTAACTTTTGCATTTGGTTCTGCTTTCGACTTAATATCCTCAAACACATTTTCATATTTCTATAATATAAATAACACATAACAATAATTAGTTACAGATTCCTTTCTTATATAACATTTTTAAATATTAGCAATATCATCATAAAACTAACTTTTCCATATGTTGGAACATCATAATCGTCTTGAAGCTTCGGTTGTGTATCTACCATAAACAATGTGTCACACATCAAATCCTGACTATCTTCACTTTCTGTTGTAAAATCAGCAGATTGGCTAGTAGAACATATATCATTATCCCAAACGTTTAATGTTAAACTGTCATCACTTTCTTGACATTTTATCGTAGAAGGGGTCAATTCCTCTATACATTGTTTCATACGTTTACTGTATTGACTAAAATTTGTATGAAAGAAATAAAAACAGCTATAGTAAGATCAATAATATACATTGTTATATTTTAATATATGAACGTTGAAGTTTGATGACCCATTGTGAGTAAACAACAAGCATTACATAAATAATGATTGTGAAATTGTAGTAGAAGTAATATCAGTGGTCAAGAACCGCAATTATCAAATATTCACATAATTGTAATGGAATTCACTTAGTGCAAAAAGGAAAACGTTTTCTCACCGTGAAATACTCTTGTCCCGAAACATAACCTGAAGGAGTGGTTTTGATGTGCTTGTGTTATCGCAGATTTGAGACGTAGAAACATCTTTATTGTCCTCCGCATTCTCGCTCGCGGTATCTGTTTTATTTGCAACATCGTTCGATAACAAATTTTTGTCAATGGAACATTCACTCTGGTCATTGTCAGCATTGTGGGTGATATCTTGGCTTGAATCCAAATCAATCACCTCTTCGTCGGTATCTTCGATAGTGATTGTAGAATTCATGGAAATACTATCATCACTGGTACAATACATATAGATAAAACTGTTTTTTCGCAACACCCACTGGGTTTTCGCGTGAAAACTTGTTTCGCTTTACTTACTTATTCACACCAAAAAAATACGATTGATTCGATGCTTTAGCCTCATCCAGTCTCATCCAAGATCCGAGTTTCAAGAACGCAACAACAGCTTGATGTAGGGGCGCTTCAAACTTGTGCTCAATTGAGCACACTGAAATTTTACTGAGTTTATTAATGGGGTGTAAAAGAATACGTGAGGTGAAACTAAATTCCTTTCTTTTCTTTAACTATTATTAAGTCCAAACACATTTACTAATCCAAAAAATTTAAGTACTGAAATATCAATTAATATTTTATAAGATTTTATGCTACAGTAAAATTCCAATTTGTATCCGTCGTGTTCAAAACTGAGGCAGTAACGGATACATAATCAAATATGTCAGATAATTGAAGTATGTACACTACAACTAAAATATAGTAATTGAAGAATTAAAAGAATATTTTTAGAGTACAAAAATGTTCAAGGAAATTGTCTGTATCCTTTTCAAACCAAAGTCTTTGGTTATAGCTACAATGTTACAAATGACTTCTGTCGAGTAAGTCCAGTTAGCTAATTAAGAATATATGTATACATACGTGTGTGGAAAATGGCATGAAATCAGACAATTTAACTGTTAAACAATATTCTGAGCATATAATACTCTTCTGCATCTACATCGTCCAACAAAAATTTATTTATTATTACAAATATAGAATACAGATGATCCTTGCCGTTTTGGCCATATGGTACCATGTAAATTCCGGCATACATCATCTTTTTTCTAAAATACTGCCACTACAGATAGTAGGAAAACGCTCAAACAGCTCGTCAAAATTATCTACAGATGATAAATGTTTGAAAAACGAGATGTCGCTAGCATGCTAATACTAAATGAAATAGGTGGCGCCATCAACATAATTGACAAAATTATTTACTGTTGCGTTCACTACAATTGCATTGCAATTTGCAGTGGAGAGAATGATATATGATCACTGACGACCCCAGATGAGGGTATAATACCTCGTTTGTGGTGAAATTATATCAGACTTAAAAATGATCTAAATATGCAAAAGAATTTGAGGAATAAACAATTTTTATCTATTATCGAAAACTCGATAGATACTCCTTTGTATACTTGTGGAATATTTTTCTGTCAAAAATATTGTTAAGTGGTATGCGAGTTATCGTCTGTATATGGAAGTCGCTGAAGTTTGAATTCACATCGATGTTTGACATTCGCGTTGATTACGAATAATTAAAAAATTTAAAGGCTGAAAGTAATTTAGTTTCGAAAGCAGTTTTGTTTAAAAACAGATATTTATACTGCCATCACAATAACATTGAATGTATAGTTTAAGGAGGGAACGATAAAGAATCTACAAAGAAAAATACGTTGTAAAATGGTTTGACGTAATGTCGTAAAGGATGATATAAAATTGTAAAGTAACAAAAAATTTATAAATCCAGAAACGAATGATAGTCTACGATGCCATTTTTAAAACCAATTAAAATATCGTACACCAAACGTAAAGTAGACATTTCTAAAAGAAATGGTTGGCGGCACGCAATTTTTGATCTTAGAACTAAATTACTTGTCAAAGGTTATTACAAAGGAGAATGGATAAATGATAAAAAAGAAGGCTGGGGTAATCAACTGGACAGGTATAACATTTGCTACCATTATCATTAACACGATTGCTGGTAAAATAAAAATTCTTTTTTTAATGACCAGAACTCTAAAGTAATGTTTCAAATCCATTAAACATACCACAGAAATGGCTTTATATACGAAGGCAATTGGTCCAACGATAAGAAACACGGTATTGGTACTATGAGTAAGATTTACGGACCACCGGAAGACGGCACTATTCGCAAACTTTACACTGGTCAATGGGTGAATGGAAAACGAAATGGCTTTGGATATAGTTGGTACGAAGATGAAAGCTATTATGAAGGTGACTTCTGTCAGAATAAACGACACGGCTATGGCCGTATGTGGTATTGCAATGGAGATTATTATGAAGGTTGCTGGAAGAATAATTTATATGATGGCGAGGGATTATATGTTAAATGTGCGAATAGAAAATATTTTAAACTAAAGGCTACTAAACAAAGTGTATAAATAATATGCAATATCATCTACATCTTGTAGATAACGGGAATAGGTATAAGGGTGAGTTTGTTGCGGGCAAGAAAGAAGGACGTGGTGTATTTTATCACATAATCACAGGACAGAAACAGAGTGGTATCTGGGTAAACAATATGTGCATAAGTGGAACTATGTCAGACATCTATTGGCGTCAGTCGGCTCCTCGTCCAACATCATATCCTATACCCAGAGTAAACAATGTTATAATAATAAGGATGAGATGTAGGACCCAATACTAACAACACAATAGCATACTCTTAAAGCGCGTTGGATATTGGGCACTTCCTACACTTCATCGGTAAAAATAATATGTCAATTTTTTCAATTTGATTTATGATTAATAGAATTCTTATACTAGGTGGAATTGGCAGAAGGCAATGAAATTGAATACACGGGTGAAATTGATAGTGATAATAACGATGAAAAAGAAATACCGCCATCGCCTACATGCAAGAGACCACCGAAGACCATAATCCCAAACATATGCGTCTCAATGAACACGTGTCGCTGCTTAGAGTCAGTTTTGTAAACAAGAACGTGTTGAAACTTACTTATATGATTTATTTTGGCAAAAGCGCCGCTGTTATATATTCATGTATGAATGTAACGTACGTATAAACCGGCCGTTCGTATTAAATACAAATTATGTATAATTAAATTGCCACTGCACAATTAATTCATTTGTTTGTTTGTTTTTTAATAATGTCGGCAGTATGATCATCAAGTACAAGCGCAAGGGGTACGATGTAAACCGTGTAAACATAAAACGCGTAACAGCGAGTTTCTTTTACCACGCCTTTGTGCACATACTGTAGTGCTTGGAAAACTGTTTGAGCATCAGGCTATTACGCGGGACTATGAAACCAAAGGAGTCGCGGAATAAAAAGATCTTGTAGAATAGGCACGTCTCCAGCGAAGATAAGTACATTCGATACGACCTAGTCACGCATACTCGATAAATCATGGATTCCCATTCACGACCGCCGGTCTTTCGAGCTAAAGAGCACGCGATACATTTGCAGAATATATACTGCTTATTGATAACCAGTACACTTAAGTCGCTATGCGAGAAAGGGAATGTGTTTTTAGAGCGTTTAGCTAAACGTTGGTTCTGTCTGGCAATCTTGAATAATTGACGGTAGCGAAACAGCGAATGTAAGTTCGGTAATAGACGGAAAAAACAAATAAAATTGTACCTGAAGGGTGTCACGAAGTAAAGGAAACTCTTCAAGACAACGGTTTTACCACTGATGTCGAATCAATGTACACTTAAACTATATTAACATCTATTTCCATTCAAGTACAATCTTCGCAGTTTCCGACAACAGTGCTGCCGTGGTTAAGCCTTCTATTTCTCTACCGTCAACTATAACAATGCATCGGATAAACGGGGAAACAATAATAGAAGTTACGACGCTCTCGGATGGAACAGGTGTTCCATTTGAAAATTGCACGCACACGAGTTTCTGAGCTCGCTGCTCGGATCAAGTAACCAAGTCTTTCGCGTTACATTACGGTCAGCGCTGTACGATCGCATTCCATACAATTCTATGACAATTGTCAACGGTCTTTCGCGTTGTGCTCCTATCCGGTTTTTCCTTCGATATTTACAATGATAGAGTAGCAGCCGCGTTATCGGATATTCGCCGCAATAAGGTTCCTCTTCAAGAGGATATCACAGTTCAAGAGTAACTGTATCATGATGAAACACTGTACAACACGAGCTTCACACCACGTGCGTCACGCCAGTCTGCAACAAGTTCACGCCATTTCTGCCCTCGACGTCCGTCGACTCGATCTGTTCTTTAAGTAACTCCAGTTCCCTTATACCGGATACCGTCACCTCGTATTTGTGCGCGACAAGGCTACGGTAAAAGTGGATCGCGAACGCGAGAAATATTATCAACACTGGTATCAGCACTATGCAAGCGGACCAGGCGGCCACCTGAGAGAAGTCGTAGAACTTCACCCAACAGAGTATAGCGATCTCCAGAAGGAACAACAGCAATCCCAACAACGTGGAGAATGCCCAGGCTACTTCTATGTACCAATGCAATCGTTCGTGGGGCGACTCGTGTACCAGACTGATACTGTGGAGGTTGCAGACGGCTTCTATGTTTGGTAGGATACACGTTGATATCATCAAAGCGAGCATATGAACCGCTACTAGCAGTGTGGTACACACGGCGAATGCGATCAGCATCTCAGATGGAACCTTCGTGTCGGAATTCAACTGAACCTCCACCATGGCGACCTACAATTCAAAAATTCTGCTATGAGATATATAATTTAACACACTATATCCTATACAATACATATAAATACTATGATTCTCTCCATCACAGATACATTCGTAATAGATTTCTTTTTAACTCTTGGACTTGGAGCAAATGATGTCTAACTTTCTTTACGTATCTTCCTTACGAAAATTTGTACACGTATATGTATATACCATGGCAAAACCAGAAAGTAAGGCGGACGTCTTGCTCGATGCTTTGAGTTTCGCCCGGCTCAGTTGCAGCTTCCTCCAGGAGAGATAACCCGGCGTGTGAAGGCCATCTCCCGACTGCGACATCTTCGACTGTCGGAGACAAATGAGAGGATTAGTTGGTAGTGGGTGGAAAGAAGCCGATGTATTCGACCGATAGCAAGCCACTACATAAATCGAATATACATAGCGCTCTGATCGACTCATAGGCAGCAGCTCGCTGGTTTCCCACGAGCATAGTAGCACAACACTTGCACCATCCAATTAAATCCACCGATTCAGATTATCAAGCGGTGCAATACGATAACGTTAACTAATCCGCCTTGAGTCAACAGAACAATTTGCTTACGATTCTATTCGAGGAACAGTAAAACCTGTTAACACTTTCGTCACCGATGCCAGTCAGCGTGGTTTTTCAAACGATCGCGTCGGTCACCGGTGCCCGGCGCCACACAGTGTGTTCGCCCTAAGCAAACGCTTGTTATACTATTTTATGAGTTTTCTTTTTAAATGGAACTATTCGTTTGTCAGGAGTGCGGAAATATTCTTCCAACACGTGGGCACACTATTTAAGGAAACATAGTTTCGTAAAGTTTTGTTTGGTTGTATGTAACGGAGTTGTAAATCAAGTTCGAACTGTTTCGAATTGCACCAAATATTTTCAACTATTTCGCCTTAATTATTAGGAAAAACCCTAGGAATACCTGCTCAAGTCAGAAACAGCGTCTCGATAAGCGTACAATTCGAATAGTTTGAATGATAGAATTGGAAATTAGGAAGATTGTGAGTGCAGAGCACCAGTGCACGATCTCCCTGCTCTAAAATCGCAACGCTGATTCTGATAATGGCGTATGGAAGCTTCGGTTACGACGATTACGCAATATGTATCAGACCTCTTCCGGCGCGATCGAAAGAGACATCAACATATTCGTGCTCCCGTGGCGCGATACACAACGATAACAGTTGTGCTCGTACGCCGCCGTATTCAGGCTGCACCGTCGATCGTGAAACCTTAGTCGGAAGAACAAACGAGAAAACAAAAAAAAAAGGAAAGAAAATAACAGAAAAGACAAAAGAGGCGGAGAAAACAAGGGTAAAAATCGGTTCCGGATAATTGTGTGTCTGGTGATATTCGACGCCGCTCATTTCGTCGTGAGGATGATGCACAAGCACGTAAAAAAAACGAAAAGGCACGTACCAAGTGTGGGCGGCAATGCCGGTGCCAACGAGGAGGACCTGATAAAAGCCAAACGGACGCCGAACGGAAATGTGAAGGATTACATGTGAAAGCCTAGCACGGACTACGAGGAACAAGTCTCCAGCTATCACTGATACATCGATACGCCTATGCGAGAAGGGAACACGGACATCCAGTAACTCGATCTGTCTATCAACAAAACACAATTGCACAGTCACTGATAAAGCGGCAATAAATGACACTAAAGCAATGATCGATAAACGTTACGTGTGCGAATACATGTCTCGTTAAAACAAGTATGAATGAGTTAATAGATGTAACAGCATGCAAGGATAGATACGCGTGTTTCTTTATTTAAGGTCATCAGAAAATCACCTTCGTTTACTCGACTTTTTGATAAGCGGAGACGGCCTTGGTTTTTACTTAGACAGTTTCAAATCTGGTAACTATCAGGCTTTGGTGTAATGCATAGTAATTTGGTTCAAGATCATGCTGGTTCGACTAGAGAGCTCGTTGCGAAAGGAGCTATTTCAGTTGTTCGAAATATCAAGGTCGATAAGATTTTCATTTTCGAAAGAAGTTTCTCTGGTTTCTGCAGAATCCTTGGCCACATCGGACAGCATCAATCAGTAATGATAAACTGCGCAACCGGCTCCTTTAACGACTCTCTGCGCAACATTTATCCCACAATTACGAATCGGTTAATTATCTCTCCTTAACAACTTCTGTCGGTGGAGTTCCCTTACATAAAGCGACGCGGATTACAGGAAATATTAACGCTGTTATGATAGCGGTGCTTCGCACGCGACAAATTGAGGAAAAGGGGAACGAAGATGCGAATTCTAAGAAAAAGTTACCTCAGGTGATCGTCATTACCGAGGTTAAACAAGGAATGTGGATATATGAAATGAGCGAAAACCAAACGGAATAAAATGGGTAAATGAAATAGACTATAGCGAGTAACGATACGCTTCCGTGGCTCGATACGCAACTGGTGCGTGAACATTTGGGTTCAATCCCCTTTCGTGATCACAATTTATTGACCACGAACAACGGACCGGTAATTAGTCAACTCGAATTGTCGGATTTCAATTCGATTCTCATTATCGCACTTCTACAATCACTGGTTTTCTCTAGACATCATTTTATAGATTTTTGAAAATGAGGAAAAAATATATGTATGTAGAAACTTAATTAACACTTGTGATTAGATGTATATACTTTATCTCCCAAGACTGCGGCAGAGAACACGCGTTAGTTATGGGATGACCTAATACGACGGATAAGTATCGTGTGTGGCGGTAATTACGAAAATAGTCTGTCATGGGGAGATCCGGAAGTGATTATCTGATTTCTAAACGCGATTAGCTTTGAATTGTAGGGGTTGTCGAGTATACAGAATATTACACGCGCATAGACATGAACATGATTTTCATGGTGATTTTCATACGAGTGTTAGTATTTTTAGTGATCAAATAAACCGCCATTTCTCTTGTGAACTCCGTTACTGCAATTTATACGATATTATTTAATGTATAATATAAGTAATTTCCCGATCCTTGCGTAGGCGACCAAAACAAGTAACCAAGTTCGAAATATCAGCATGTTAAAATGTTACACGGAAACTTTTATTTCGGAAAGGTGAATAAAAATGGGGATTCGCAACTGGTATGCGATCTCAATGTGGGGACATAAAAAAATCGTTAAATATAGAGATGAGTATCCGGTTGGCCACGCAGGGGTTCAATTCGTCTACATACATGTATAAGTACAGTCGGTCGCAAAAGCTTCCGTACACGTGCCAAGTTCCAAATATCTTGAACAACGAAGCAAAAAACGGTGAACATCTTTCTAATAAATAATAATAAATAAAGTACATGATTAAGATACTAATTAATAAAACTATTAATAAAACAAGTAAATCAGAACTCACACAGGACTATTTAAGGATTAAATCCAATTGACAATAAAGAACCAAATTAAAGATTGACAGCCAAAATTGTACATGCAGGGTCCTATTCCCTCATCACCGCAAATTTTTTATTCACTGCGTCGAATAGGTCATACCGTGCTACAGTTCAAAGAACTAAGAACGCGAATGGATAAACGAAAGGCCGAAAGAATCAGGCACAGTTGACCGGTGTATGGAAACGTTTGTCGGCAAAGGTGCAGCGGATTTCTGTGAAATTATTCGTAGTCTAGTAACGAGGAAAACGTGCTTGTGAAATGATCAAAAGAATGGAGAGATCGGTACCGACCTGACAGTCGTGGAATCGCTTGTGGAAGCAGTGACCGTCAGCGTTGCGTAGATGTGTTCGCGCCACGTGTACGTGGATCGGCAACTGCGTGGAGGGGAGTACCGCTCCGCCCTCCGCGCCAAACACTGAATTGCGTCCAGTGCTTGTCGACCATATGGACATCAGGCTCGATTCTTGCGGGTTTCTGACCAGCGCTGTAACAGAGACCAAACACCACTTATACCCGTTGTTTACGTCCACGTTTCTCTGTTCTAGACAAGGATAATTGAAGTAATCAAAAAAATCGGTTTCCATGGATGTCACTTTGGATCTTCCACCAGGGCTACCAATCTTTCGAATTGTCGTTAGGGGGATTATCAACAACAGATCTTGACTGATATCGGAGATCAGTGAACTCGTTAATATTTATGGCGCTGGCACGTTTGGAAGTGTATCGTGCGCAAACACAGAGAATAAGCATCAGCAACTGCTAGAATTCACATGCAGAAAAACTCGTAGGATGGCATGCCTGATCTTGACCAGCGCGGCGAGAACTTACGATCTTTTGAGGGAAATTTTTATCCGTATTCTTTTTACCGAGCATAAATGTTGAGATAAAGCTTGATTAGCATTAATTAAGTGGTAATTAGCGAACAATAATTCAACAATGTATTAGTTGCTGCCGATAATATTCGCCTGAATTACTTTGTTCATATACGTGAACACGAAGTTCGTCTTACGCGAGAGTAATTGAAATTTTTTGTCAATAAGATTATCGTCAATATAATGTCAACAAAAAGTTATTCAAATAATGGCAATATAAGACGATTTTCGAAGAAGCATTCTACATTCGAAATATTTCGAGGTTCAAAAAAAGTAAAAATATTGTATCTCGTTCTGTGCGAAGGTATTGTGGGAATTTCAACAGTATCGTTCGCACGATTGGTGGCGCGTAACGAACCGTTGACAGCCATTCGAATAATGGGGGCGTTGCACGCGCAGCGCGTTCTACTTTATTTGCACGCGTCATTACGTAAATGATACATTTCCCGCGGTCTTTAATTGACCGTGATTCGCGGATATCGAGACCTATGTGGATATAACGTTCCGTTTTCGTAGCCCGACACAGAATGAGCCAATACCACCATCGAGATTCATTAATTGATATTTTTGATTCGGCCCTGGGTCAACGGACTGGGAAGCTGTTGAAGTCACGTTCTCGAAAATAAATCGCTATTTTTGCTCGTGGAGAACAGAAATAACCAACTTCAGAATTACACGTCGATAACGAATTATAAGGAAAAGATATTAAATCGTCTCCGATCGAAATACTTTACCGAAATCAGAATTCCAGAGTCTAGATGATCGAGGTGTGAATTGTACCGGATGCAAATTAAAATTTACAAGACTCATAAAATTATTCAACGTTTATTTACATCTCCAGGCCAGACGTAATTGCATGCGCGAACCAGTTTTTTTCTAGACGTGACCAATCACCCTGATGTAACCTTGACAGTCTCCATAAAAGATAAGACGGAGACAGCGTGGCTCAGATTATTCCAAATTAAAAGAGATCGTACTTTCACAATTTCGCACATGGACACGTTTTGCTTCACCCTGAAATTTTTTTCGAAAAATAATATTTGTACGACTGACGCTGAGGTGATAAAATTCTTCAAATAGTATTTAAAAAAAGTGGAAGAAGATAGGTTTCACTCTATTGAATTAAGCTTCCTTATGAGCTGTATAGATATATGTACAGCGCCAATTACGTATGTACAATCTTCGAAGTAGCGTTGATATAGTATCCCTGAGAAAGTGGAATATACATATAACCAAGCTTTTATAAAGCCAGTAAATATAATTACGATATGAAAATAATACCGGTTATTGACTTCCACCTAAAGAGAATCTGGAAAATTATAATGAAATCTAGAAACCAGAAAAATCACCAATAAATATACCGGTAGTCCTGAATTTTGATTTCTACAAGAATCCCTGCGATTGACCAGTTAAAAGAAAGGTTGTTTTGGGTCCTAGCTCACGTGACCTGCGCGCGCATCGATTTCCAATTTCAGCGAAAGCGCAACAGATTGTCTGCATCGCGGTTGATCGTTGCAGCTACCGTCGTTTAGAGATACGTGCCAATATCACTAAAAATACAGGGACCGTAGAACACGCAGAGGTCCCCGTGGCTGCTCGCGGTACGAAATTAAATCATGATTAAGGCAATCGGAAGAACGCAAGAAAATCGCTGCCGGCGACCTAAACGATTATGTTTGTCCGATATGCTTGACGGACGCGTCCCGTCATTGTGTCCGCAAATAATAAATTGACCGGGAACCTTGCGCCACTGTGTTCGCGTTAGTCACGAATGCAGTAAGGCAAAAAGAAATAGATCCAATAAAAATGACGATAGGAATGACAGTCGGATACATGCGATGCACACAGGACAAACGTAATAGCATAACAGTTCCTGTTGAACCGAACATTATATCATCAAACTTCGCCGAACGCTCGGTGTTCTATTTCGATGACATTTACATTTCTTCTAACAACATTTGTCAATAATTATACGACTGCACGTTGAAATAAAAGCTTAAAATAAGACACAGGGCTGTTTAAACCGGAGTGATTCACTGCTGCGAAATATTGTTCGGAGCTGCAAATTGTTTTTTAGACTTCGGAAGGGTTACGTATATAGGACTGTATTATGCAAATAAAAGCTATCAGCGCGCGACTGTAAATCCGAAATTATATTTACCATTTTGAGAGCGCTGAGGGGAACGAGCAGACAAACGCGCGAACTCATGACGGAGATCAACGATCCCCCTTTCTCTTCACATTCACGAAATCGAGGATATTCGAAGCGTGAAAAATTTGCACTCGGTCAGGAATCACAGATTCATGTTAACCGAATACCGTGTCGCCGACGAATCCGTCTAACAGATGAACTTCGAGTTACACGCGAATTGCAATGAATGCTAACGAACGGGAGACACTACAGCACTGGTACTGAATAAGACGCCGCGATACAACGGCGACGAGCGGTGCCGAGCGTTGCCGAAACGAGCCGAGATTTACCGAACGCCTTCGGCCATCTGTGGGTAAGTTGAACCGACACCCTGAATTCACATTCAAATGACGTAAGTTTGGTCTCATTCTTTCTTTTTCTTCTCTTTTTAAATATACCACGTTTCTTGAGAGGACTCTTGCATATAGTGCATCGGTCGGGGCATATAATTAGATTGAATATAATTTGCGTCAGTTAATCTTGAGAGATACAAAAAGTCCACGATTTTTTAAGGGAGGCGTACTCGTTTTGAACTTCTCTTTGAAGTGATTTATGACGAACGGAGTTGGGTAAAAACACAATCCGATTAACACTAGATTTATGTAGCACTAAAAATATCTGTTTTATGTAGGTATAAAAAAGTAACAATAAGACATTTATTCTGATTTTTAACGAGTGTGAATATATATGTCGAATAAATAACTTACAAATGTATCTTTACAATCTGAATAATCGAAAATTAAAAAATTAGCGATCCGTCAGTTCGGTTCTGTAAACTTAATGTTAATAATTCACGATTATAACTTGTTATTTATCATAAATTTTTATAGACTGGTTTAGAATAACTAATGAGTTATAATTGTAAATCAGATTACTTTTTGCTCAACTCCGATGACAAAATTGAGTAGTTGCAGTATGAAATAGTGGAACAATTAAAACAACTGAAGAGTATTGAAGCATTAATCTCGTGGTTACATTATTTAGCAATCATTTATTAAAAACCCATTATAATCTCACAGTACCATACAATAGTAAACGTATCATTTGTTACTGTACAGGATTAAAAATTTGAAAAGTGAATAGTAAATCTCGCGACGATCGTTACCATCGAAAATTATTCTACACAGCCCGACAATTACTTTACACAGTGAAGTATATAATGTAGATTAACAGCTGAGATTTTGCGAATTTTTTTTATAATAATTATACATTTGTTACGTGCACAAGGACTAATCAATTATTGACTTAGCGACGGTCATTCTTTTTAGCTTGTTCGAGCGAAGAATTAATCTCTGTGCACGAACGTAACATGTCCATTCGATTATCGCATTGTGTATTCTTTTTTCATGTTGCAGCACACTCAAGTCGCAAGTAGTTTGTTATCTTCATTTTAATGTAGATGTCGCGTGCTAGATACGAGAATTAGAGGGATACCCGCCGAGATCCTTAAGTGGTTTTGCATCGCTATTATGCTATAGCCGATTACTATTCTTGATCCGGTGAATAAATCAGCGTAATGAGAACAGGGGCGTCGTTAGTCACTACATATGTACATAGTGGCACACCAGTCTCATCTTTCCTGTTCCCTAGCGCGATATCGTTACAACATTTTTCCCCAGCTGATTCACGCTTTTGAATAACACTTCGTATTCATTAAGGAAAGATCGCGAGAATCGAAGATCCAGGATCCAGGATTCAGCGTTCAAAAGATAATACTAACAGATCGAACCGGACGGATTGTTGGAAGAATATACAATCTATTAACAGCTTCCGGTTCACCGTTTCCTGTTAATTCAAAGAATTACGATCGCTGTTAAATCTCGACAAGATGCACATGTCCGAGAGGGAATTGGCGAGAACATAAATCGACGTTTGAGCCACACTGAAATCAATTTGTTGCTATTCTAATTTATTACTCGTGCAACCGTAAAACCGAACGACATGATCCAATCGTTCACTGCGTAGAATCTCGGTTTTTGAAACCGGGAGATATGCATAGGGAGAAGCGTTTTATTTCTACGATTGATATCAAAGAGAATGCTTACTGTAAGTTGATAGATTTTATTGTCAAAAATTATCGAGCAGAAAATAGACGTTTAAAGTGCCAAAATATTAGAACGTGTGAAACCCGTGATTCATAGAGTTTCGTATTGCGGATGTTGATTTCTGAATTTTTTAAGTTCGCAGACGCAAGTATTTTCGCCAGACTCAGCCGGGAGCGCAAAGTGGTCGGCTGGCTGGTAATTTTACTTAGGCTTTTCCTCGTGGCAAACATCCAGGACGCGACCACTTCTATCACGAAACGATGCACCGTCTGCGACCGCAGTCATGGTCAGGGCACCCCTAGCCTACTTGCTGATGGTATCGTCTGATCTATTTAAAACTTGATTTCTACAGTGAAAATTCGCTTTAAACGTTGCCCGGCTTACTTTCGATAGATCATTGCTGTTCGAAGTATCGAGTGTCCGAATGTGTAAATCGTAAGACCGCCGATAAATAAGTTACGATAGTTACGACTGGTTGTTGTCATCCTTGAACATCCCACGGTGCTCGTCAGAAACTGCGATACTATAAAATGCCTGTTTTCCCACAGACTCTGTCCAAGAGCGCGGCCGCTGAAAGTTTGATCCTTGGAGGAATCGATGGACATCTGAGATCACTATTTCTTTCAGAACAGGTACGATATCAAGTAAAACAAGATCCTGGACACTTATTACAACTTGAAGAAAACTTAGAGAACTTACAATTCCTAAAGGATGCAAAGTGGGAACAATTGGAATTCAAGGACACTAAAAAAAAACCTTAAAAATCCTCAGAGACGCCAATTACGTTTTCCAAAATCAAATATCCTAAAAGTTTCAAAAAGTTCTGAGTGATCCTGAGAATTCAAGGACTCCTGCAAACCATCTTTCAAAGGACTAAGTATCCTTGAGTGCAGTACATAAAGATTGTAGGAAAGCTTGCTTGAATATTTTTGTTTTGAGAAACTCTACAGCGCGCGTCACGCCATCAACCGTTCGAAGAATATACAGCGAAGGAGCGATCGCATAATCGCAATAATAAATCGCTTCACGCCGTTAAGCTCGTTACAAAGGGCAACGATGCTCTAGAATCTGTCAACGGTGCAATTCGTTCGCGGGACGCCCATTTGCCAAATTTTATTAGCACACTTAACGGGCTGTGGAATTCTACAGCATCGCACGGATCAAAGGAGTTCCTAACATCGGGAATTTCGATTACATTATACAGTCTGCGTGTTCGCCAACCAGCTATTCACGGCATCCTGTTATTATCAAACTGTCGGTTACAACTGTGCATGTTTTTATATACTGCGGTTCGCAAACGAAATAAAACACTTGTGTTTTTGTTGAATACAACAGTTCTGCATGTTGAACCAAATGTAAACGTTAGAAGGTATGGAAAACAGGAGGCAAATATCATGTCATGATCGAGCTAAAATTTGTTCACAAGGCTTCAAAATGTTAAGTAGTGTTTGCAATAAAATTGTACTATAAACAATATCATAAATATCATTCTGAGCAATATCAGCGATAAGAGAACAAGATAAGCCTTCAATGTTGAACTAAGCGAAGCTCCGCGCCTGTGTCGCCACGCTTTCAGACCGACAAGTATTTTCGTTCACAATTTCTGTGACATTTAGCAGCAAAGCCATAAATTGACTATGTAATGTTCAACCACGTACGAATAGAACGTTGTAAAAATTTGTTCTCTTCGACATTAGTTACTATCACGTACATACGCAAGTACAGAGCTGTGCTAAATGGAAAGATTTCTTAGACGACAGGTCGCACTTATCCCCTTTAACATCAAGTTCAACTATCAAGTTTCTACTCACAAGAACCATTTTCAGCTCGGCGTCTGGTTTCCAGTTTCATGATCCTGACGCATCAATGAACGGCGGCTTCTTCTAATCGGTTAATTCGATGATACGCGTAACAGTGAGCAACAGTTTCTTGCAAAACGCGTTTCTATCTTTTGAAATTCACTTCGGACACTACTAACGCAGGAGCACTTTCACGAAAAATAATTCGAGGAAACTACGATCAGAAATATCAAGAGAATATCAACAAAGACAGTCTTCAAATTCTTACGGGCTACTTCTAATGCGGCCTGTTCGGTATACCCGAATATAAACAAATAATAAAACTGTTTCGATACGCCCAGTGATCCTTGAAATTGCTGCGGGCAATTCCTTGACGAGCGGTGACGAATACCCGGGAAAACTGTTCGCGCGCATGCCGCTTCGCGACTCTGTGAACAATTGTTCTGATAAACGATTTCTATTGTCCCCGATTCGAGGAGACCGTTCCCTTCTCTTTCATATGGTCACTTGAGACACTCGGTCGGAAATCCGGAAAATACGAAAACTGTTGCGACGCGTGCCAAGCCTGACGGTCTAGTGGGTTTATCGTGCTTATCTGACCACGGCTGGTTGTGAAGTGTCCGCGATACTAAGGTCGAGAGAAAGGTACTTTAGGACTCAGACTTCCTTGGCTACGGTTTTTATCGGCCAGTGTCTCACAACATTATTTTCACCGGAAACCTGCCCCGGAAATCTTGGGAAAAGTGTACGCGTCCGTACTACCGATTTCAACAGAGAAAAATATTGGAGCCTGTATCTACAAATCCGCACACTGATAATGGCAGAATTACAGTAGAGAATACAACTAATATAGGTTAGTGGTAACGAGGACACCGAAGGGTTATGCCATTTTTGCGCCGAACTTGCGAAGTGTATTTTAGCTTATTTGCATAGATAACGCCATATCTAGTCTTTTGGCGTCACAATTTTGCCCCCCCCCCCCTTCCCAAACTGTCATACGGTTTGAACGCGTCGCGTCATATCTGCACGACCGTGTCTAGAAAATTAATTGTTTCATTCACCCGTCTGTTTACTATCAAGGTTACCGAAAGCAAAACATTCATACTTCACCGATTGCCGCATAAGAATCACTGTAACGGGTCATTGCATCCGAGGTATAAAGCACGAACGCGTGCACAGGTTCATTTCCATGTGGAGCCTTGACTTTATTTTCCATGTCTAATGGCACCGGTTCCTTACGTAATTAAAAAGTATGGCTTCCTCGACCAATTTCACGCTCGGCGAATTTCCAGATAGANTGAACCAAATGTAAACGTTAGAAGGTATGGAAAACAGGAGGCAAATATCATGTCATGATCGAGCTAAAATTTGTTCACAAGGCTTCAAAATGTTAAGTAGTGTTTGCAATAAAATTGTACTATAAACAATATCATAAATATCATTCTGAGCAATATCAGCGATAAGAGAACAAGATAAGCCTTCAATGTTGAACTAAGCGAAGCTCCGCGCCTGTGTCGCCACGCTTTCAGACCGACAAGTATTTTCGTTCACAATTTCTGTGACATTTAGCAGCAAAGCCATAAATTGACTATGTAATGTTCAACCACGTACGAATAGAACGTTGTAAAAATTTGTTCTCTTCGACATTAGTTACTATCACGTACATACGCAAGTACAGAGCTGTGCTAAATGGAAAGATTTCTTAGACGACAGGTCGCACTTATCCCCTTTAACATCAAGTTCAACTATCAAGTTTCTACTCACAAGAACCATTTTCAGCTCGGCGTCTGGTTTCCAGTTTCATGATCCTGACGCATCAATGAACGGCGGCTTCTTCTAATCGGTTAATTCGATGATACGCGTAACAGTGAGCAACAGTTTCTTGCAAAACGCGTTTCTATCTTTTGAAATTCACTTCGGACACTACTAACGCAGGAGCACTTTCACGAAAAATAATTCGAGGAAACTACGATCAGAAATATCAAGAGAATATCAACAAAGACAGTCTTCAAATTCTTACGGGCTACTTCTAATGCGGCCTGTTCGGTATACCCGAATATAAACAAATAATAAAACTGTTTCGATACGCCCAGTGATCCTTGAAATTGCTGCGGGCAATTCCTTGACGAGCGGTGACGAATACCCGGGAAAACTGTTCGCGCGCATGCCGCTTCGCGACTCTGTGAACAATTGTTCTGATAAACGATTTCTATTGTCCCCGATTCGAGGAGACCGTTCCCTTCTCTTTCATATGGTCACTTGAGACACTCGGTCGGAAATCCGGAAAATACGAAAACTGTTGCGACGCGTGCCAAGCCTGACGGTCTAGTGGGTTTATCGTGCTTATCTGACCACGGCTGGTTGTGAAGTGTCCGCGATACTAAGGTCGAGAGAAAGGTACTTTAGGACTCAGACTTCCTTGGCTACGGTTTTTATCGGCCAGTGTCTCACAACATTATTTTCACCGGAAACCTGCCCCGGAAATCTTGGGAAAAGTGTACGCGTCCGTACTACCGATTTCAACAGAGAAAAATATTGGAGCCTGTATCTACAAATCCGCACACTGATAATGGCAGAATTACAGTAGAGAATACAACTAATATAGGTTAGTGGTAACGAGGACACCGAAGGGTTATGCCATTTTTGCGCCGAACTTGCGAAGTGTATTTTAGCTTATTTGCATAGATAACGCCATATCTAGTCTTTTGGCGTCACAATTTTGCCCCCCCCCCCCTTCCCAAACTGTCATACGGTTTGAACGCGTCGCGTCATATCTGCACGACCGTGTCTAGAAAATTAATTGTTTCATTCACCCGTCTGTTTACTATCAAGGTTACCGAAAGCAAAACATTCATACTTCACCGATTGCCGCATAAGAATCACTGTAACGGGTCATTGCATCCGAGGTATAAAGCACGAACGCGTGCACAGGTTCATTTCCATGTGGAGCCTTGACTTTATTTTCCATGTCTAATGGCACCGGTTCCTTACGTAATTAAAAAGTATGGCTTCCTCGACCAATTTCACGCTCGGCGAATTTCCAGATAGAAATAATTCCGACAGTGAATTACTGGTTGTAGGTGGAAACGAACGTCCGTGCATTGTATTAAGTACGTTTGAATTCAAATGTTTCGGCGTAAACAGACGCGCGGCACAGCGTTTACGCAGGCACACAAATATCCCTAGCGAATAATTTCACGTTGAACGTTAGCTTCTATGTCGTCGATCATGAAAACTCGACACGTTGAATAAACGTGTGCGCGAATAAATAAATACCGAGTCAACGTGATGATAGCGCATAGGATTTATCGAGTGAATTTCTACCCTAGATCTTTCAAAATTAATCAAGTACGAATTTATACGCGTAACATTGGGAACGTATTGGAATGACAATATTGACACGAGAAGAGCTCGTTCGTATCGGTCAATCTGCACGTTACGACAGTAATTGAGTCGATTGATATACAACCAACTTCCTTAAAATATCTCTAACGTATTAACTGATGCTGATGATTTAAGCGTAATGGAAAAGTACTTTCGCAACGCGCAGGACTAGATAAACTGTAACGGAAGTCGAACAATTAAACACGCATGTTAAAAATCGATATATCATCTGTTCCTTTTCCTGTTGGTATTGGTACCATAGGGATTCTTTACATATCTTTCAATGTTTCTTAACATTCTTTTGTCTAATTAAAACGTCATTTGTACTAATTGTCATTATTTATTTCAACAAGAACGTCGAAAATATCGAAACAACTAGGATAATCGCAACTAATTCAATGCCAGTGATATCAAAATGATACAGTAGTATAATAATGAAACCCACATGAATGGACACCAATAAAGTATTGCACCATATTGTTGCCATTTAATGCCATTTTAATGTAATTGACGATTTCTCTTCGACGTTTACTTTGAAGCAAGTTTTGTTCGCGTGGCAGGGTGCGAACCACTAAGGGAAGGTTAAAGCTTGCCGGTTGATAAACAGAAATGAGGGCTAACCTTAAATAAAGGCCACTTACTTGAGACGTTGCGGGCACTCGTAGAATCCTTTGCACTTGGTTGACAACCGTATCCTGCCGTGCGTTGTACTTCCTCGAAGAAATGAGTGCCGGCACTGGACGCCGATAATGTATCGTTCGCAACGGATCTGCATTCTTCGATGCAGCGGCAATCGGCGGTAACGATTGCATTGACCGTTTCCCTTCCCTGTGTTTCGAACACTAACCACTCCAAACAATGTTCCCGTTAACTGAATTCGAGGCGAACACGGCCGAATCACTCGCTACTTATCATCCTACGCCATGCCATGACCAGGCAGCGTCTCCGGCGGGAGATCGATCGAGGTAGAATGCGGGCAACTGTCAATATTCGCCAGATAAATTCGAGACCCCTCACTAGATGGCTCCGCTGGTACCGCGAAACCGGCGCGTAGTCCGGATCGAAGAATGTCATGTAACTTTTGCTATAATTTTTCAATCACTGAAGACATTGAAATGAAATTTTCGCTGAAAAATAATACAAAAATAAACACTTTTAACAATAACTAATGTAATATATTTCGTATTTATTTATTATTAATGTTCTTTCTAAAACTAATCAGTATTATCTTCCTTATTTTATATCCTTTTGTGTATGTAATTTAAACGTGTGTTTTGTATATTTAATGTCTTACGAAGGGGCATAAACCGTAAATTGAGAAATCTTACATTTAACATTTCAAAATTTCAAATAATACACTAATGTGAAATACAAATTTTTTTTAATGAAAAATATATTTCAATGAAATTTATTGTAGATAAAAAAGAATAACGCTAAAATTAAACAATACTAATAACAAGTAGTATCAAGTGGGATCGATTTTTTTTAGCAAAATGTCATCAAATTCTTCAATCCGGATCACGCCGCATGGTGGCAAAAATACAATTCCTCCCCTCCACGAAACGGGCTCTTATAATAGAACCATAGATCTATGTGTATAAATAAATCAGGCGCTCCTGGGATCCTTGAAGTCGCCGAAACCACGGGACAATAAGGCCAGATAATAAAACCACTGAGCTTGGTACACAGTCATCATGCAGGCTTTGCAAGGCTATTGCTCGCGTAGAGGTTAGATTTTCAATTAATTGACAGGTGTTCAGGTAAATAGCAGGCGGTTCTCCGCGTATTCTCTCAACATCATGCAGAGGGTTAAGTGGTGGTAAACCGAGAAGCAATGTCACGCCACAGGTTTACTCACAAATTGGCGCGCATTTCGCGTTGTCCAATCCTACGCCGCATCGTTCCCAATGCATGCTGCATTCCGCGGAGGAGGAGGAACTCATCTCTGACGGAGTAAGTTACACCGGTCTTGTTCGCCGCGAAACACGATTGAATACGATCCACGGGATCGAAGTGATTTTTCGATTGATATCCACTCCCCTACGGTCGATCCGCGGAGACGATCGTGCAAGTGGTGGGGTGGTCGCGGCAGCACGCAGGCGACGATGTCGGGAACAGGAGCGGTGTTATTCTTTGGGCGCCGATCACCGCGGCGCATTCATTTTTAGTGAGGGATTGGCCGGGGAACTGGAACGCGGACACGGTCAACGCAAGAGACACCTGTTGCACCGTAGAGTAAGCCGGCTGCCGTAATACCACACGTTTCGAGACCAACCGCCCCGTCGTAATTTTGATTTGTTGAGTGAAACGACAGGTCCATTTGTTCGCGAAGCGGACACCGTGGTTTGTTTGCGAAGTGAAGTAACCCTCGCCGGTCTTGTCTCGAGTGAAAGAGGCAGCGCGAACAAGTTTGGGACCAGTCCCAATCGTATCGTCCTTGCGTTAGGTTGTGCATCACAGTCATTGTTTCCTTGTATCAAATTCATTCAATGCACAGTGCTCGTACGTATATCGTATCTGTTATTAAGTATTATTTAAACCAGGGATAACTAGTTACATCGTTATGCGGTTTTTATTTATATGTAATACATAGATTTGATCGTGTCTATGCGCACGCATCGCGTACCAAATCGCTTCAATCTGTATCCATTTTTCACTGGGCTTGTGTGATTTATATTTGAAAAATAGTTGGTTTATTTTCGATATCTTGCAATCGGAGTCGATGATTTGAGACATTGAAATTTCGATACTTCGACGAAGTCACTAGTATGACAGATTGACACAATAACATTTTGCGTTATTGTCTGAAAGCAACAACAAAGCGCGATAATCTCACGAATACACGTAAAGGCGGCGTGTTATCAATATTTTTTGTCTCGATTGTATGCGATAATCATGCGTTCTAATTGTCTGTCAGCAGCAGACTTGGAAACGAGAACTGGAAAAGGAGAAGTTGCGCGCGGCACAGTCCAACGTTGTGCGTCGATTTAAACGCTGCGGAATAAAGGAGCGAGTAGCGACAAACAAGTGCCGCAAGTGCGGATAGGAATCGATAGATCGATTGAGTGTTCATGTGAACCGATAACACGCATCGGAAGTGGCCATGTCGAAGTCATTGAGGTTGGAGGACGACCAATTTTTCGCGTTGAAGAAGGTGAGCGTCATTTTAATCTCCTAACTATATGCATACTGTATAATTAAAAATAGATAGTCAATATAGTCAATAGCCAATTTAAAGCGGGAACATTTCGTATTCAATCAACATCATTTCAGGGCACTCCATATAGAAGTTGCAAAGTTGATTTGCGACGGAAATATAGCTCGACAGCGAAGTTAAAAAATTGTATTCACGAGTGCAGACAATGCCGCCTTCAGTACAATGTCTACTTTAGATACCGCGTAAAAGAATATGCTTAGCAACCGAAGTGGTCGATGTATTGAGGGGAGAGTTTCGAAGATGTTTGAGTTCTACTGAAAACAAATCAAATGGATAATCTATTGACTCAGCTAATGTGTTTATATAGCGACATATTTTCTTTTTCGGAGATTTTACCGATCACTAGATTAACTGACCGGCAGGTGTAGCTAATTGCAGATATCATTCCAAGAACCGGATCATTCCATGCTACTTAATATCTCCGTTCTTTTTCTGCATTAACATGCGGAACAAGCTCCATTTATCTTGCAATTCAGCGTTCAAGAATACGGATGATTTGCGATTATCTCTTCACATGTAAATTCCGTGGCTTCGAGAAACAGTCAGCACAAGATTGCGTTACGTGTCAATCGTTTAAAAACATTTCGCACCTGATTTGAATAAGTCTCATAAACAATCATGTCGTAAACAATCCGTTAATAGAAAATAACGACGTTTACTCATATTCTTGTCAATCGTCCTTGCTACGTCGAGGTCTCGGCAATGAAGAAACGCCTTTGAGGCTAGCGAAAATTCATTTGTGTTCGAGAGATGAGTAAACTGAGCGGGGAACGAATCAGAAGTGGCAGACGTCATTGTTGCATTATAAATCTAAAACAAACAGCATGGAAGATTCCGATTTACGTCAGTTTAATAAAAAAAAATGCAGAGGATTCTCACGAGGAATGGGAGATGAACTTTTCCGATTGTCCTTTACAATCGAGATAACGTTAGAGCGTTCGTATAAAAGTGAATCGCAATTTTACAAATGTCACAAGCCGTTTGATAGGACGAGCACTTAGCGCATTAGCTGTCGTTTCCGGGAAAGCGAATTGGAAGCGTCGAGCAGGATTTTTGCAAAAACAGCACCTGTAATTTCTGCATTAACAACCGTATTCCCACCTCACTTGTATCAATGCTATTTTATCGCAGTCGACGGATTTTTGTTCTCTTTCGGCGAGGAATCGGTTGTCGGCTGTAACGCCGATAAATCGACTATCTTGTGTAAGCGGTGTGTACGTATTAATTACGCGCTCGTTTGTCTACTACTATTTTAGTTAAATCGTGATTACAGTTTCTCTTTAATGATCGGTTAGAGAGGAGGCCTGAAAGACTTTGACCATCTTTCCCAGGCGGCCGCGAACGATGATCCCACAGGCGGCGGGATTTTTAAACAGCTTTCGTTGCGGGGAACCGTGTGATTACCCGGAAGATTTCTCCCGTTGATAATCACTTTATCATCACGTCGGAACACCTTTCGTCGCGGTGATTTCTTCCTAGTAACGAACATCCGGCCCCGGTTCAAGCGAGCCCGCGCTTTTTGCTGGCACGCGATAGACAAGTTGATTTTCTACGATGTTTTTTTTCTTGGCCGACGATCGAAAGGGAACGGTTTCTGGGAGTAAAACGGCACTTTCTTTACCCTGTTACACTACCACACGGGAGACCGCTGAAGATTAACCGCGGTCGTTGGCACACATCGTAGATTTCGAATGGCAGCCGGCCGATGAGCATACGGATCGCGAGGATCTACGCTCTACAGTGTAGATCAGCGTTCTTCAACCTTTTCACCAGACGCCACAACTATTATAACCTATATAGAAAAAAGCCGCTGCACAACTATTTCGTTTTCGATATCCATAATCATTAAAAATGAGGGAGTTAGTTTTAGTAATATGTGCGAACATGCGTTGCGCGAGATACATCTTTCATTTTGCGTTTTTGTAAATTCATTAGCAATTTAAGAATGTTGATTTTATGTTAATGAAAGTACAGTATTATGGAGAAAGTGCCAAGATAATATACGTAATTACCCTACATGCTAGCCATTTGCACGAAACAGTTGCCTTTACTAAACGGCTTTGTAAAAATCGTAAAATATTTTCGATTTTCCTCTCCTCTTATTTTGCTAATTCTTTTGTCGGTCACGAAGAATGGAATAATTCAAAAATATGACCGAGCTAATCGAGCAGCCTGCTCCACTTCAGAAACTAGGAGGAAAACATCGCTCAGGGGAACGAAGATCTGATAACTTTCTGGGCGAAAAAGTGATTTAAAGATCACAGTGTATCATTTGTGCAGCGATCATTCGATGTGTCTTAATCGGAGATTATAATTTGCTTAACAGGCAATCGAACGTTTCCAAACGACAATATCATGTTCCACGAAAAAAAAAAACGATCGTGACGCGATATCTAACATGCAGAGTTTTGGTTTACTTAGCGCAGCGAAGAGTTCAGAAGTTCCTAAGAATACTATTAACCTCTCTGAATAAAGAACGATGACTAAATTCCGAATTGGGTCAGCGATTAATCCATTGACCTCCGCACGCATTTTCTGCTTCGATATCATTCCTCCTAATTGTCATCAGTTCCATTCACGCAATTATCTATTCGCACCACCGAGCAATTTTTCCCCGATTTCGATCATTTTACCAGTCATCAGCGATCGTGGTAAATATTACTTCATCGCTGCAATGATGCATATGTAGATCTTGTATACATAGTTTCGTTAAGTATAATGTTTTAAATGGACATTCCAAGGAATCGTTTTGTTTCCCTAGGTTTCTCTAACGATCCGCGGAATAAGGGCACCGCGGAACCGTGCGTCTAGTAATTACTGCAATTACCGTGAGTTCTGCGACGAGTCCGCGAGAAGACACAAGCCGGTCATGTCCGGCGCAACATCGCGCCGATTTTTAAAGAAATAGAACCGGTTCGGTCGACGTATGAGGCAATCACTGCGCATGCCGCACGATCTTCTCACCTTTGCGTTTTCCACTCGGTTTCTTTTGTATCGCTGGGTCGTTTTTCCTGCCAATTTTTTCCTAGCCTGATTCACGCAAAACGATCTTGCGAAAGAATCAACTAATGATTCAGTGTTATTTTCTCCGCTGTTTCTCCTCGCCTCTCATTTTTCCCCTGCCCAATAATCGCGGACACGGTATTCACGCATCGCGGTACAACAGTAGACCATGCGTTTCGGGCGTCCGCAACCGGATCAGCGTGACCTGGCGGAAAATTCGCGTGAAAGTAAACGCAGGTGGTTTTGTAAACGTCGCGAAACCCGTGTTTTTCTTTCGAATCGTTGGGCCGACGCTGAAGAACGGTTTGGCCTCAGCGTTAGCGCCGGCAAAGAAGCGTTGCAGGCCTCCCGTGTTTGCGAATTGTGCAACGTGGGAAACATCGCACCCGAATCACGTCTGTAACTGTACCGTCATCGCTCGGGCGCAAGCAACTATGTAAAGTGTTCTTACGATGCACTACGAACACCACGGTTGCGAGCGTTTGCATCAGTTGTTGGTACAGAGGGAAATGTTAAACATAGCAATTAGACAAAGTCTGCGAAACACGCTTGCGGTCTATTGGTCTAGCTAGACAGCGAATCTTTATACAAAATAAGAATCTTTCTCGGCGATTATGTAAAATCAGAAGTTATATAAAAAAAAACGAACTTTTTCTTTTAAATGATAACAATACAGTGAAAGTAAGAGCGTCTTTAAATTCCTCTTGTGTCTTCGCCGATCTGTGTTTCGTTTATCCATTTTTCCTATAAATCCGCAGTCTAGGTATCCATAAAATAATTCAGGGTCCTTCCAAGCTGTCTCTAAAAACAGCATTCTGAGAATTACTCACAAATGTTAGCTCGACTGGATTCAAGTACGAGTAGATTATACTTGACGTACTCTTCCTTAAGATTCGATCATCTTTGACCAACGAACAATGAAGCTCACCCGATGCAAATTCGTTTTCCAACGGTTTGACACCGAGTGCAAGAACGTCACGTATTTTTAATACCTACGTTGCATAATGGCAATAAAATCACAGGAAGGATACAATAAATAACTTAAATACGAACAACCAACGATGAGTTGCATTCGTCGTCCCTGTTCGTGTGACCTAAAGAATAACAGAATATTGCCCCCGGCAAAATATTCAAAATGACTCATACCTTTTTATCACGCACGAAATAACAAAACTGTCTATCTCTAAAAATCGCGAATTTCATATTGCATGATGAAACATTCGAACGTATACGTGTAAGTAAATTGTATAAGTTATTTTATAACTCGGTCAGAATTAGTTTAGCAATGCATGTTATCCCAATACATATATATATATATAACTGATTAGTTTGGATAATAGAGTTCTACTGCACTATTTCTAACGATGAAGACAGTTATACAGACATTGCCAAAAATGTTCTGAACTCTAATATTGCCTTTTTGTGCACTATAAAATCAAACATACAGCGGATTTTTATGTAGACTTTGTTACCGAGGTTCTACTCAACTCTAATTCTCCTTCTAAACTCTAATGACTCTTTTTGTACGCTATGAAAAGAAACATTTATTCGAATAATAGATAATAATAAACAATGGACTTGTTCGCTTGAATAACTTTTGCCAGTAATGCGAATTTTCGGTTTCAGCTTAGGCGGTCGGTGGAAGACATTTTGCAGCCGCATCACGACGATTACTTTCTAGTGCGCTGGTTACGAGGTACGACCGCTTAACATTCATTCATCGCAATAGTTTATACAATTGCCCAATAAGGAGCACGCGTTAAACGCGTGGCCGATCATCGAGAATCGTTCGCCGTTGCATTTTCCCTCGCTAATCTGCTTTCGTCGTTTCTCGTTGCGGATCCGTTATCGCGTTTTTGTTATAAAAAAAAAATGCAACAATGACCGGATTACATCGTGGGAGCGACCGATTGATACGAGCGTTGTCCGTCGACCAGTTGCTCAGCGACACATAATTAATCAGAGGAGCCGTGGAACCGATATCCTTTCGAATCTGAATACTTAGCGGATGTCGACCGTGCTTAAGGTTTGATACCCGCCGAATAAAAAGACATCTGAACACGTTACGTAACAGTGCGCAATGTTTTCGCGATCTACACTGCCGGCCAAAAGTGCATCGAGTCATTTGTGCGTTTCCTGCTGCAACTGAACTGCACTGAATTATGGTTACTTTTATGACGTTGTTTTGTGAGTACGGCAGTACCTCGATGACCAAACTAATCAGGGAAACGTGGGGATGATAGAACTCAGTTAATGGGTTAGATTGAATATTCGGATGGTCGAGATGCTGCTGTATTGAGTTCGATAATAACGACTATTATTAGACTGCGGATCCTATGCATTTATGACAAAAATAGGCAATTAAAATTGAAAATGATGAAAATATTAAAAGAACTGAAGGATATCTACGTATCATTTTCAACTCGCTTAAATTATTAAAGAAAGGAAGAAATTTCTACCTGACTCGTTTTTCTTGTAATTGTCGAAGATAATTTTCATAAAGATCTGCATAGAGATCTGCAGTCTAATTATTATAGAGACAACAGAAGAGACCCGGTCTCGAAAGAGTAATTAATAGATCGCGAATTTAAATGCGTCAAATATAAGGTCGTGAAAAATGAGGGTAAAAAAATGAACGAAGCAAGCGCAAATCGGATGGATAATGATTGCAGACACGTTGCGTAAAGTCGAAGAACCTGTATGGCAGAAATAAACCCACTTTACTGCTCGTAATCGTTTCGATTCCATAATCCGAAGCGTAATTGATCCACATGTTGCCGTTCGATGTATTTATCTCCATTGACATCTAATAGGACAACTTCGATAGAAAATGAAAGGTGTTCTAGACTGAATGAGGAACTGTTCGCTGATTAGCCGTCATTGAATCGAGAAAAAAAGCAGCCTTTCCTCTCATTATGGAAGGATTTCGTATGCAAATCGAACGGACGATAGCTTATCGATTTTATCGGGTGATCCGCCGCGATTATATTTTAATTAAAGCTCTTTTGTTTGAATTAATATGTCCCTGTAAACAAATAGATGGATCGATTTTTATGAAAATCAATTTGTTTCAGCTCGGAAATGGGACGTCGCCGCCGCGGAGAAGATGCTACGGGACGTAAGTATGCTTGCCGAATGCACGATCCTCTCGTCTCCATGCTTTGTTTCATAATAATCGCGCATGAAAGCAGTGTCTATTATGTATTCGGTTAAACGGCGAAGCAAACCACCGATTCGGTACAATGGGCTTCGCTTTCGAAAAAATCTTGGGCAATCCCCCGATAGAGAAGCGCTTAGCATGCGACGCGCGGCGTTCGATCTACAGGACAAACACAAAAATTCAATGCGTAAGATCTAAGAAGCCTCTAAAAATGTAGTTCGTAAAATTTCCAACAGTTTCCGCCGAGTATATCAATTTCTTGTTCAAACTTCCACTTGAAGCTTAATGCAAGAAATCAATGCATTTCTTGAATCACGTTTCTCTGGCACTACCTTCGATCTATCTTTAAACTATCTTTTAATTGGATTTTTATAAGTTGACTTCAATACGGACAGAATCTCAAAAACGAGTAAATAATTTTATGAAAACGATTATTTGAGTAAACACGTTTTACATTTTCCTCTATGATCGTCTCGACTTTTCAAGAATTAACAAGAAATTGACAAACAAATTGTTCGAACAAAAGTGTCTCACTCATTATGAGACAACAAATCGGAAAAATAAAATTGATAGAAAACTTCTTATTTCAAACTTTCGGTTCATTAATTGACAGATCTTCACATGCTCTTTAAAAAAGTATTAGAAGTTCTAGATCGAAAATTAATTACTTCATGGAGATATTAATTTTGTCCTAAACTATAGCATTGACCACGGTGCAACGCAACGAATGCGGTTTCGTTTCTCAAATAAGTTGCGTAATCTCATCACCTAAGAACCGAGCCAGTCGAAGTCACAAGAACTAACAAAAACAACGAAAAGTCGAAATGATACTTCAGTCTGAGTACTTCCTGGTTTTACAATTTCTTTGGTAGGTAGTAGTTTTCCTCGCGCGAAAAAGCGATCGATTATGAGCAGCTATAATTAAGCATATTCTGCTCGATCTGCAAGATACGCGGAGCTGTTCTGGAGCTAATAATTTGCGTATAGGTATCACCGAAAGTGAAGGCCGATGCAGAAATGTGGCAACAGCATAGAACTTTCGTGAAAGGCTGCGTGTTTTCTTAGCCAAGGATCCTTGTCTCGGAACGTACGAATACAGGCATAATTGCTGAGGAGTTGCATGTCCGAAGCGTTAGACTATTACGTTGATCAGTCATCAGGCTTTCCCGCCGCGCTTCGTGGATACAAGCGACCGAGAAAGTCCTGTGGAACACGTTTCTCGTCCCGGTATCGGTCGTTCTTTGAAATTTCGCTAGGTCTACCGGTGGGTCGGCGGCAAAATCAGTCGTGAAACACTTGATTCCGTAACCAGGAACTAAACACGAGAATAGAGACGCTTGACACGTCGATCCAGCGATCACAAAAATTCTGTGAAGTGCAAGCAATTCATCGAATAAAACGAAAATTTTGTATAAAAATTCAACGACACGTTACCTACGAAAACTCGATACCTGCACTCTTCATTCTTCAAAATTCATATCTAAATAAATCAACATGCAATGCTATCTATTATACGAAACAATCAAGATTCGATCTAGCAGGTTAATTAAGTAAGTTATTATCATTATGTTATGCACTATAACTTCAATGCTTCAAAAATTTGATTTGACTGTGGAGATGTTAACTATGAAGTTTTGCATGTGTGTGACGATGATAACGAACGTTGGACAATCTTTACGACAAAACACAGTCGACGAGTCAATGTAAAATGTAAAAATTGATGAATGGAATTCAATTTGATCTTATCACGAGCAACTTCGCGCGCTTGCCTCGACGCATATTGAATAATGATCAGCATGAATATCAATCGCATGGTCTCGATAACGTTAAATGTATTTTCATTTTCATTCTAAACGAAACCAACAAATCAAAAGTGAAACGAAGTCGGAAATTGAGTTCTAGCGAAAATTGTTGGATTGTTTATTTTGTTTCTGGCAACGGAAAAAGAAATTTGGCGGCAGTGTCGTAATTGGCTGTCAAATCAGCGAAACAACGTGTTTTTCACAGTCGTGAAAGGCTGCAGATCGTAAAAACAGATGCTGTAGACAGCATTCAATTTACATCGTGGCTCGAAAAGCCATGGAGAGAGTAAACCGAATTGTTTAGGTTGCAAACGTTGCAGCGGCTTATTGTTTGTCAATTACCGAGCTTACTTTCGGCTCGAGGCGACGAGACCATCCAGCTGTTAAAAAATGGAAATTATGCTCTTCCGGTGAAGAACGAAGTTTCTCTAGAAATATATTGGACCTTTGTGTTTCTTAACAAACCGACTCGTTTCGCAATGTTTAAACGTCTAATAGCCTGTCCCAACTTTTTCGATCGTTAACGTTACGCAACTGTGTACAGTTTTTAGAACCCTGCGATCACTTTCATCGTGAAAATTGAAACAATCCAGCAGGCAGCTAGAAACGCAGGAATCAAATGGATTGCGGAACAGAAAATCCGATACTCTCGGTAGCCGTTCCACTAATGCTATCGAGTATCGTATCCTGAGTTCGCCAATTTCGATGATTCACGAACCGTAGAAAGAATATGGGGGATTTCGACCAGACCGGCCACGCGAAACGATCGTTGACAATAACACTTTCTTGACCGACAGAATCCCGGATATTGCAAAGCAATCTGTTGCAACCGCGTTCCCCTTCTCTTCGAAACGCACCGCGAGCATTAAATTTCACAACCTGATGGATTATCTTTCCTGATCTCACTAGATACGAATTATCTAACAAAATACGCTCTTGTACATGAGAAATAAACAATGGTCTTAAACTTAGACTAATTGGTTGTGTGCACTTCATTGAAGATTTGCGAGTATGTTACAGATCTTTAATCATTTTCTATGCAACAGTCTATAGAGTGGCGAAGACAGTGGGATGTGGAGAAATTGTCAGAGTGGGATCCACCGCAGATTCTGAAGGACTATCTGCCGCATGGTTGCACTGGTTTTGACAAAGATGGTGCACCAGGTACCATTCAAAACTATTAATATAATTAGACTGTGGATATTTATGCAAATATGATTCTATTGAGTATTAGATTGAGCTTCAAGTAGAAATTTCATAAAATCCTTAGTCTTCTGATAAAAAATAATGAACGAAGAATATATTCGGAACGTTGAAATTTACAGTGATTGTTGTATATTTTGATGCGCTTGACTTGTACGGAATATTGCACGTGATCACGCGAAGGGACATGATCAAAGTCACCATCAAATATTTGGAGGAATATCTGAAACTATGTCAGGAGCAGATGCAGAAGCATGGGCCCGCAGCCGGAAAAGTGGTCGTCATCTTCGATATGCAGGGATTCAATTTGAGGCAATACCTCTGGCGACCAGGTGAAACCATAATCAACCACACTATCAAGCATTTCCTAAAACCTTTCGAATCACAGTTACGAAACAGGTATTTCTGGATACGGTATCTTTCTGCGGTCTACAAAAATTGAACTATAAAAGTCCACGAAATAATTATATAAGATAAGAAACGATATTTTCTACGAAATCATGATCGCTCGAGGAATTACCTAATACTAGGGTTCCATAGTCATATTAATAATCCTTTCACGTTTTTTTTTTAAAGTACATTCAACTCTGTAATGCCAAGATAAATATAAAGTTATGTAAGATCATCAATTACCTGGATAAGACCAAATTCAAAGCTCCTTAAATATTTCTATTCTCGGAAGTAGATAATCACAAGAAAGGCAATGATTACAGTTAATAACTTGTACGCTTTTTGCTTTTCAGCTGGAGAAGTGGTCATCACATTATTGCAAATGTATGAAGCCAATTATCCAGAGATATTGAAGACCTGTTATATCATCAACGGTGTGTATTATTGGGATCCAATTTACTAAGCAAATGTTCGACCTTGTATCAATGTTGAATGGATGCAGATGTTAGTTCCATTTTGCTTGTAGCTCCCAAAGTATTCGCGTTCGCATTCTCGGTGGCGAAGAAATTCATGAACGAATACACTCTATCGAAAATTCAGATATTCAAAGCTGACCCTCCGAAATGGCAAGCGGCGATATTCAGCAATATCGGGAGAGACCAAGTGCCAGCCTTCTTCGGGGGCACGCTGAAGGATCCAGACGGCAATCCGAAGCTCGGTACAAAGGTGCAACAATTTACCAAATTTTCATGAAGCTAGTGTGTCTACTAAAAATGAATTGACAATGGTTTGAACTTTCTTCAGATTTGTTTGGGTGGTAAAGTGCCAAAAGACATGTATGTGAACAATATAGAGAAAGATAGGCAGACTGACTATACAACAGTGACGATACGGAAAGGTGGGAAACTGGAGCTTGACATGCATGCATCAGAAATGGGATCCTTGCTAAGGTATTCTAAAATTAACAACAGAGAATTAATAGGAAACATTCGTACAATTTGTACGGTTGAAGTGAAGAAAGTTCTTAAAATTGAAAATCGTCTATTTCTAGCTGGGAATTTCGATCCGATGATCACGACATTAAATTTGGTATCCTGAAGAAGGACACTAATGGGTCGAAGAAGGAAATTGTACCAATTCGACGAGTAGCTGCTCATCAGTTAGAGGAGATTGGAATCCTCACGTGTGAAGTACCTGCCACCTGTAGGTTTATTTTCTTCTAATTAATCAATGTATAGGTAATTGTGGTAATAATGGATCGGTGATTGTGTCTGTTTCAGATTCCGTTGTTTTCGATAACAGTTATAGTCTTCTCAGGAATAAGAAAATTCATTATTCCGTACGGGTGATACCGCCGACGGAATCACAAGAAGTAACACAGGCTTCATGATCAATTGAAATCAGGAACGAATAATTTAAAGAACATTCCCAAAAGAATTGTTAGTACATGATAAAAAACAATGGACTAACAATTTCACTTTTTTAAAATAATACTATTATTTAAGTAGCAAAATATATGTTTCTGTTATACAAGAAAATTTTACAAATTTTATATAAATAACTTATTTGCTCATTCTTTAAGACTACTTTTTGTATGTATTGTTCCCTTCCATTTTGCAATTGTATTAAAGGCTTACTTTTTTCATTTTTATTGGTTGTAAATGCTATTATACTGTAAATGTAACTTATCAAGTTTATACTATTTATATAAAAGAGGATAGGAAATTCTATCAAGGATTTGTAACAATAAAAAAAAACATTTTCAACTTTAGATGTGGTATCTATCTTTGGGAACTTACATGAATGCTTTCCTTGAACTTCATTAATGCAGCAAGGCTGTAGTATTGTTTAGTCATCTGTATCAGTAAGCAACATTTCAATAAGGTCTGCTTCCAAACACTGGTCACCCTCTAGACGTTTTTGCGTGCCCCATCTTTCTAGTGTTGGTAATACTTTTAATTTCGTAGTAGAATTTGTTCGGAATGGACAATTCATGTCTTTCCAGCTGAAATGAAAATAGTATTCTATTTCATTTACTTGTATTTGTTTAATTGACAAACATCATGTATTTAAATAACACTATGACTTACAATGTTCGATCTCCAACTTCTACAGTAACTAAATGTATAGTCTCTAAAGCTGTTTTGAATCCTTCTTCTATGAAAGGTGCCGCTATAACAAAAATAAAATATATTGTACTATTGATATACACAAAAAGCAATTTAACAGAAGTACTTAATTTAAGAAGATTTATTATTTTTTATCGCATTTAGGTTACGTAAATATGAAACAAACAAGTGTATTTCAATAATGATACCTTCAACGCAGTCGGAACACCAACTTTTCCCATCAGGAAGTTTCGTACCACTATAAAGCACATAAACCTGTTCAGAAGGTTTGAATTTTTCCATAAATACGAAAAAGTTTTCGTATCCTTGCACACTGTGACGCACAACCATTTTCCGTTTTTTCTTTTTCTTGTTGATAGTGCAGTTTCAAACCTGATTTCTCGTTCTTGTATAAAAGCTTCTTATCAGCGTTAAAATATCGATAGCCTTCTTGTATGTAAGGTATTTTCGGTTGATAATAACCCTGTTGATAAGAGAACACTTTAAGAATTTATCGAGCTCCGTGTAATTGATACCGGCTCGATCGCTACACCGTTGACATTAAATTTAAAATTTTTTTTAGTAAAAATAAATACGACCTTACACATACCTTTTACATTAACACATGATATTTTAAATGTTTGGTGGTGATTTTTATTGCATTTTAAAACAAGACACACATTAAAATGGCATTCACAGTGGCAAAGGTTAAAGAGTTAGGATACTGTTGAATTTTTTACGATAATTTTTATCTTTGCTTGAACGCTGATTTAAATCCTCGAAAATGAAATACAGAAAGGTCAAACTTTGAAAGCAATCAAATCTTCGAACAGAACTGGAAGTGACTGGAAACATATATGAATTATAGTACATGATAATTGACCTAAAAATTTGAAAGTATTTTTCTATTAATAACATTTTTCAAATCAGTTCTACTTACAAGATTTCTCCAGTTCTGTTTATCCAATTGCTTTAAAATTTGAGAGTTAACTTTGTTTTGATATTACTAATTTCTATAGGGAAACCTACTTTTCTTTATCTTTCACAGTATCCTAACCCCTTAAAATAAATCCCTGAATCTTCTTGCAATCAAAACATACAAAGTCGTTATTTTATTTTTATCATAATAGGACCTTGGACGAAGGAAATCAATTTCTATTTAAATGCTTCTCGACTACGTAAATTACTCTATATAAAAATTAATTTACGTAGCCGTTCTTAATACCAACACAATTGTGCGCATTAATCAGCATTAACATCATCAGTTTCGGCGAACGATTGAACGAGTTCTAGTGAATAATTTCAACGACGTCAGAGTTATTGTCATTTTTTTCATTAGTGCAGCTATTAGAAATGAGATTAAGATTATGTACTATACATGTAGTTTCAAACCTGACTAAAAAGAATATTAACACTTCTAAGCAGATTTGAATCCAGGCAAGATATGTTCGAGTTTTGGGTTATGCCATTCTTGCTGCGAATAGTGCGACAATGAACTTGCATTTCGTTCTTGAGATGTATGTATACATATATGGAGGTATGCAATTCAAATGAACCGCGGAATCGAGACATAAGCTGCAACTTGGCAATAGCGCTTGGTTGTTCCGTGGTTGTCAATTCTTCGTTGATTTTCGATTGGCGGAGACAGCGTACCCTCCCACTCCGATGACCTCGCGATGACGATAGTGTACGACCAATCAGAGTGTACACGAGGCGAGGGTGTTTGGTATGCCCTGGGACGGGGCAGCTTGTTCGCAGTAATTCAAGGTTTTGACCGTGCAACAATATTGTCGTGGTCAATCATTTGAAAAGAAATCGCTCGGCTTCGAGTTGGTCGCGAGATCTAAATACTCGGTTCGAAACAAACTGCGCGTAGAATGGCCGCGGTTTTCGATATCGAGTTGCACGATGCTGATACAGTAAATAGGGACGAGTCCGACGACGATGTTATCGAGATCGGCGAGGTAATTCACCATCTGCACGCGATATTACCGCACCACTCTCTCTGACATGCTTTATCGTTTTCTCTTGTGTTTCTTGTTCGTTCCTTAACATTCGTTCTTCGTTTTCTCCTTTTTCACGTAGGAAGAGTATGACGCGAATCCAAACATGAACGAGATCACCGAGTGAGTAAGCCTTTTCCGTGTTGGCGTACGGGCGGCTGCCCGTGTCCAGTCTCGAGCTAATGACAATTTTCCGTTTGCCAGATCGGAAGGCGTCGAGAAGGTTCCCATATCCGAACAGAATGTTAACCGTGGCAGAGAAAGGGCTGGTCCCGAGGATTTCGAACTGTGTAAAGTTATCGGGAAGGGTGGTTATGGCAAGGTCTTTCAAGTGCGTAAAGTAACGGGTAATGACAGTGGCACGATCTTCGCGATGAAGGTAGGCGAGACACGACGATTTCTTTATCTTTCTCCTTTATTCTTGATTGATTCTTCATTGACTGTTGCTAGATCTGATACAATATTTTGGCTGGTTATTAGCTTTTCGAAAATGTTATTTTCATGTTTTGATCGGAATTATATAATTTCTTTGTCTGCCTTTGTTTCATTGCACATTGTTGCGAGCAATTGCAATCTTTTTATTAATTGTTGGTCCAAGCATGCAGCGTTATTGATTTCCTATTTTTTCCGGATTTTGATAAATAAAACGGATATATTAAATGTAAAGCATAGTCATTTGACATTGTGACCATGTGCAGTTTTCTCTTACCTGTCATTCCTAATATTCAAACATTTTTTAGACATAATTATTGGATATTATACATTGTTATTGTGTGATTGAAAGTAAAATGATCTACCATATAATGTAACATACATTTTGATTTCTATTGTATGGCTCCATTGTGTTTTTCTGAATCACCATAGATGAACTTATTTTAAATGTAGGTTTTACGTAAGGCTTCTATTATAAGGAACCAGAAAGATACGGCCCACACCAAGGCTGAAAGAAATATCCTGGAAGCTGTAAAGGTAGATTTAAAGTTCATAATAGTTTTCATTAATCAGACGAGATGTGTGATGTATAGCCGTCTGATTATTCATATTATTTCAATTTTAAAATATAAAGTAAAAGTAGTGAGAAATAGAAAAACACTCAAATGTATGTATATTTATATCTGGCAGCATCCTTTCATCGTAGACCTTATGTATGCTTTTCAAACTGGTGGGAAATTATATTTGATCTTGGAGTATATGTGTGGTGGTGAATTGTTTCGACATTTAAATGATGAAGGCATTTTTCTTGAAGAAACTGCTTGGTAGGTGAAACTGAAATAGAGTCGTTTGTAGAACTATGATTTTCATTTTATGTTCACAACTATGACAGAAACTCAATATACATTTTATTTGTGCAGTTTTTACTTGTCGGAAATAATATTGGCACTACAACATCTACATCTACAAGGAATAATTTATAGGTATTCATATACTACATACACATTTAATTCTGTTCCCACAATTAGATCACTAATGTATTATTAACAAACTTTCAGAGATTTAAAGCCAGAAAATATTTTATTGGATGCTGAGGGACATATAAAATTGACCGATTTTGGTTTGTGTAAGGAACATATACAAGATGGCACCGTTACACACACATTTTGCGGTACCATAGAATACATGTAAGCATAATTTATTTAACTCAACTATAGTCATAATTCTGTAATGAACTAGCTAATAGATATAAAAAATTAAAGGGCTCCAGAAATCTTAACGAGAAGTGGTCATGGAAAAGCAGTAGATTGGTGGAGCCTTGGAACTTTAATGTATGATATGCTCACAGGTTCAGTAAGTATTCTAAATTATACATATTTATGTATTAGATGGAGATCTGAATAAGCTTCATGCTCCTTTCATGAACTCAATCTTATCTACAATATGGTAAATTAGATTATAATCTGTTATATATTTTCTATTATCATTAAACTCATGTATATTGTGTGACTTTTGGTCAAGCACTTGTTGCAATTATATCAGAAGCTTTTTGAATTTTTAGCCACCATTTACATCTGACAATAGAAAGAAAACAATTGAGAAAATTCTACGTGGAAAATTGAATCTTCCACAGTACCTAACACCTGATTCTAGAGACCTAATCCGGAAGCTGCTGAAGGTTGATTTTTCAAACTTATTATTTCATCATTTATCGAATTAAAATTTAATCGTGTATATAATTTCTGTAGAGACAAGTTGCCCAGAGATTGGGATCTGGTTCATCAGATGCTGAACAAATAAAAAATCATCAGTTTTTCAAGCATATCAGTTGGCATGACGTCATTTCCCGAAAATTGGAACCGCCGTTTAGACCAACATTAGCGAGCGAGGATGATGTGTCACAATTTGATAAAAAGTTCACAACTTCTGCGCCAATAGACTCGCCGGCAGAATACACGTTAAGTGAATCAGCAAATAGAGTATTTCAAGTACGTGTTCTTGTTTTTTGTTTTTATTTTGCGATCAAGTGATAATGGCAAATTTATTTCGTAAATTACAACAAAAATTGAATCGCTTTCAGGGATTCACATATGTAGCACCAAGTATATTGGAGGATATGTATTCGCAGCCGCGAGTAATAAATGCTAGAAGTCCACGTAGAGGTAATATGCGTGGATTTTCACCAAGAACAACACATTTTCATTTACATAATACACACGTACAAACTCATAGGTGAGTAACTTTTTGTCTGGTATTATATCATTACGCTTTACAGATAGGTTAATGTGTTGATACATTCACCTTTGCACATGAAACAATGACAATCCTAATCATTTGTAGACACAATGGTGTTGGACACGGAAATATGGAAGATACAGAAATGATTGAGATAGGCTAACTGCCACTTGTACTATAGTGGAAAATGCTTAGCATTTGGGCCTAACTGCTGGATATCTATGACCAAATCCTTGTGTCTCAGGGAGGGATTTTATAAAAATATAGATGGAGTAGCAAAAGGATAGGTCCAATATCCGGTACTTCGTTGGATATTCAGCAGTTAAAATTTAGCTAATTTTTTTTTTTAATCAAATTTAATTATAACAAAGGTACTAATTAAGATTATGCTTTAAGAACAGCGACGTAGTAGTTATTTGGTAGCATGTAAAAATGTATGTATATGCATAAATATGTATATTTGTAGATATATGTATTTATTTATATACATATCTGTAACAGAAAAATTCAGAAAATAATTAATCAGGAAAGGATGATTTTATTTACTTATTTGTCGTTAGTTACAATGTGCTGAACGTTCTAACGGGATCCATTTATTCGCATACATTTATAGTCGAAATACTGCACACGTTTCACATTGTCCTGTTAATACGTGTAATGATCTATTGTTTTTTGTAAATACTGATCTGTAGGTTGGTTGGGTGTTCATGTATAGATACACAAGCGTCATTCATGTTAAGTGCAACAGACTGAAAAATTCCAGCACTTTTAGAGACTTGAAAAATTACCACTGTTGAGACAAATTTGAAATTCAACCATCTTGTAACACTTGTATATTGAGAGAAGAAAAAAATGCAAAGAAAAGAACGAAAAAAAACTGTACACGGCAAATGTAATTTAATCGCGGTGTATGTGATTGCTTAAATGTGATTCATTGAAAATGGACAAAAGACAAATAGACTTAATAACAAAGTTTCACAGCTGCCACTACCGCTCCGCCGCTCAAAATTCCATATCCGGTCGTTCATTCGAAAAAGAGAGAGAAGAAAAACAAGGAATTCTATTGTCAGCAGTAATAACGTTTCCATGGCAATAATATGAAAACAATAACGTGTCTACGTGGATAGTCATAGACAGTGTTTATGTAATACTGCAATGGAATTGCATTTGTACAATTGAAAGTTCCTACGAAGCGTGAGTTAAAAATGCAGCATGCTCTGATCTTCAAGCATACAAATATTTTTTTGTAGAAGCCTTGTTTATCCATATATACGTGTACAAAAAAAGAACCACCTTTATTTAACCGTTTACGCCTTGAAGAAAAAGAAGAAGATAAGACAAACAGCTTTGTTGTGATTTTGTGTAATTAACAGAAAAAATATTTAGTGTGAAACTAGTTACCATGGTAACAATGTTACTGCGAAACGTTGACTCTGCGACGAGACGAGGGTATAGTTCATATTTAACACTCGTGTTCACATGTTGTTCAGTGTGTCATCATACTATCGCAATTTATTTAAATAATATCTATTCGTTACATATATTTGTACATTATTAAACACTATATATAAATATATATATATACTATATATATAAATATATAATATATATATATATAATAAAAATACAACATATATATATATAGAAGAAAAATACAACATATATATATGTTGTATTTTTCTTCTTATATATATTGATTCGACGTACACATACGATAAATAGTCAAAGATAAAATAGTGTAAAGAATAAGCGTTCAGGGTGACTGTTCACCGCTCACCGAAACAAAAAAGAAACTTTAAACTACCCAAGTGTTCACAGGCCATATTAGCCGACATATTACAATTTTAACTATATACAGCGAAAATATCATGGTCGAAATATTCGATCCAATAAATAAGTTTCTCGTTGCGGTTGACCACCGACCATTGAGAATTATCTCCTTTCTTTCTGTCTTGTTATAAATTTGATGAACCGCATTTCGACTGTGCACAAGTAAAACAATGGGTGCAGTACACGCTGTGTTCGAAAGTCTGTGATTATTATTTTATTTTGAATTATCTAGCCAATTTTTCTATGAAAAAAATTATTCGATATCCTATTTTAGATTGAATGTCATTCCTTTTATTCCCTCGGGATACCAAGGACGTCTATTTTTATTTCAAGCGGTTTACAATTCCGTACTTTTGAACAGAACTAGTGTACGCACACGATTATACACTATTCAATGATTTGTATTGTTTTCTTGATAAAAACTTGCTCTTTTTAGCAACGAATTTCTTTAAAGATGAAATAAACAATTGTGTCTTAAGCAGTTATAGAACAGAGTAATCTGAGAGCAATATTAACTGGTTCATAAAGTAACAAGCTGAGTTCTTATGGAGAAAACAATATTGTAAATGAAGTATGTATTCAAAAATGATAATTTACAAATAATTCTTTTCTGTGTGTATCGAAGGGACAATGTATTTTCAATATTAAAACAAGAATCTGTCTACAGAGTCGAGTCGAGTTGATTATATATAACATACAAGAACTTGCAAAATGTATTCAGGACTTGCCGTTCTAATATTCGTTATTTTGGTTACATTATTGTAACAAGTTCATAGTAAATTAGGATTTAATTATAGTCCATTGAAAATAACAGTCACGTTTGTAACGACATGGTAACGTACTACCACATCTATTTAATCTACGTCCTATGATTTTTATGTGTTTTTTATAACCTAGAGAACATTGTACAAGTTCGAGTACCGTTTTTGTATGTGTTATGAGATCTATTGATGAAAACTTGGTCGTTGAGTGAAATCGTATACTTTGTAGGTAGATTCTGCTAGCGTGCTGCTTGCAACTGACCCTTGGTGCTGATACTCATTGATTTGAACAGATTCTAAACGGCCTGAATACTATCAGATTCATTTTTATACGTAAAAGAAAAAAAAATGGAATGGAAAAAGATGAAATAATTACGAGAATAGCACGTAGTGCTTTATATATTTAGATCTACATGTATATTACGTTCTCTTGTAGCGTTCGAATGCGTACGGAACGAATTTAGCAGAAATTAAGTTTTATTTTTCCACGCGTTTTTCTTTTCGATGGTGTAATATTCCGAGAAGAAGCGTTTATGGTTACCCATGGCACAAGAATATGTTAGTTAAGTGCTTAAAGAAAAAAAAAAGAAAAGAGTATCATCGAAACGATGTATAAACGACTAGCCATTGGCCAGATGAAGTGATAAATGGTTTAATGCTTCCAATTAAAAGAAATATAGATTCTTCAATTGACTTATTGCTACCATGGTTTGTAATCCTCTAAATCGTATTTACAAATAAATAAAATGATTTGTGACATATATGATGTTATTGTTGCATAAACCAAGTTTGAATTATATCCTGTACGTTCATGGGATTGCTTTAACTTTGTTCAAACAGTTTACTCAGTCCCGCCACTTTCTGTAACTACGCTGATCATCATAACAGCTGTTCATCCACTTGGTATGTCTTCAAACTTGTAGCGTACACACGGAGTGGACAGCTATTATGACTACGAGGATTCTCAGGTGCTGTATTTTAAAGAACAGAACATAATAAGGCAACATGTTATGGGAAGTGAGTGATCGATGTACTAGATCGATGCTGCTCTCCATGAGGACTTTGCATAAGCTGGTTGCAACAAGGCAATGTTACCGATGGAAGGGTTAGATGCTCGATACCCAGCTGATTACTTGCAAAGGACATTTAGCACGCGCATGGCGTGCCATAATAATGGCATATTGCACGCACGTGCATGTAACGAGAATGGAGAAACAACGTCATTCGCGTGGGCGGGACTGCGTGGTAGAGGATTCATGGATGGTTGAACGCATCGCGGATGATCCAGCTCGATCGTCACCGCTTGAGCGGGCTCCACGTTCGAGAGTGCATGGCGAACTATTGCAATTTGCAATGCCGTAGATCTTTCTGTTTGCGGCATAACGATACTCGTTCGAAGGCGTAATACATGAAAACGAAATAAAATCGCGAAGGTGTTCGCGCCGCGATACTAGGCCATCGAGCATTCGCGTCGATGTCGCTCTCGAGGGTCGATCGGAGTTCCGTCGCGAAGTGTTTATCGATAAAATGTTGACGGTTTCGATAATCGAAGTGACCGGAATTTTGACCGTTAGGACCGGAGTCGGGCTGTAACTTTCGAGTGTTGATCTAGTTTGAATTCGCCTCGAATGTAGTTATAAGAAATTTCATTCCTGGGCCGTTACAATACATCTCAGGTAATGTCGGCTGGTAGACATATTTTAAGCGAAGGGTACAATTATATTTTGAACGGCGGGTACAAATTTTACTGTTGGCCATAGTCAAGTCGGATGCTTTCTCAGCGAGCACTTTCTCTTCATTAAGTTTGATTTGCATTAGCATCGAGTTGAATAGAAGAGCGATGAGTTTTCAGTTGACCCACTGTTAACTGCTGGGATTGTAGATTTGTATCAGGGTTAGGTGGGGCCTATATTTGGCCTCGCTAATAGAAAAGGTCTAGGTCAGGTAATTTAGGTAGCTTCGTATATAGTACGAATAAATGTTGAGAATTCTAATATTCAATTACTAAACTGGACGGACCTAAACACGAGTAGCTTCAAAAAATGTTTTTGTTGAAGGTGTTATGGGTTCTTCGAGTGCAGCTATTTATTTTTTATACATAAAAGGTTTTGCATCGTAGATATGTATGCAAATTTTAAGATGATGCCTAGCTTGGGTGTGGGCACGGTCGTCAACAAACGGCGCGATGATTCATCGTGATAATTTGAATACAGGTACGCGGTTGACTCGAATCGGTTGACAAAGTGCCAGTATCGAGAACGACGTCAGTGCCGCGGCTGACTTCCGGTCTTTGGCGCCGGTAAATCGAAACTGAAACCGAACGAACGATTTTCTTCGAAAAATTTGCAACGAATTCCCGAACTTACGAATCTCGGCGAACTGTCCAGTGATTACGCCATGCACCGGAACGAAGGTTAGTATAAACTATCTGCGATCATCGTAAACCGCGAATCTATATTGGAAAAGTGAAAGTCGAAACGGGTTGAATATGAAATCGCGCGATGCATGTGAATTCAAATTGCTGTTTGAACATCTCATTAAAGTTTTTCCGCCCCGGGGTTTTGTTCGAACGCAGAATTGTGTCGCGATTTAACTGGTAATAATGATCTGTGTATTTATTAGAGCGCGCAGTGTAATCTAGGTGGTGCGATTGGTGCAGTGGTTTGTCGGTCTCTTTAACGGATTCCAACGACACGTTTAAACGGATAATCGTCCAAGATGGTGCGCGTGGCGCGAATCTCACACACCAACGAAGAGACGACGAAGGTGAGATAATTAGCTAAAGTGAGAACTTAATGGAAATGCCTTGGTAATGTATAGTGAAGGACGGATGAGCGTTTACCCAGAGGCTATGCACATGTTGGTCGTATACAGCGTTAGTCATAGATATTTGGGGTGTAAACGGAAGCGGAAACGGAGCCAAAACTGACTGCGCCTTTCCCGTACACTGTTAGACCTTATTTCCATTCAAATTTTTATAAAAACTAACAATATTTTTATTCTATTGTAAGAAAGCAATAATAATTAGTTAAAAGGATTGAATAAGAAAAGTAGAAGGTTCTTAAAGCTGTAAGCTGATTGATGACGGAGCTAATCCTCGTCATTAAGGGTTTAATTAGCTTGTTGTTTTGCATTCGCCTTTGCCCGATCAAGGATGTCCATCCTAATTCTAAACAAATCTTAATTGACTAACCAACAGGAAAACTCCTTCGAAAGGCAGTGCTAGTACTTTTGACGAATTTTTTCTGTAAATAGGAAATGGTATTTGTATTAGAGGATAAACATTAATGATAACTAAAGAATTCTCTTATACTAATGATGGACTGTGGAACTTTATGAATATTCACATTTTCGAAGATCAAACCGTTCTTCTATTAGAGGATCTGTCATGGTCCTAGGAAAAGGAAACCCTTCTTCAGCTTTTCCAAACGTTCTTGGAAAACTAGAAATAGTGTAAATGCATAAGATCCGCAGTCTAGTTGTAACGTGTAGTAGTGTAGTTAGGGGATCGATGCCCTTCTTTCTGTATAAAGTCGTCGTTCAATGAAGAAACAGTGGAAATGTTTCAGGTTTAGGCTGTCCGGAGCTACGCCGGCTCCCAAAAGGTCGCTATTAGAAAGACCTAACTTTTCTCGGATCGAGTCGAACGAAAAACGAGCACGGAAGGAGACGTAACGCGCCCGTCGAACAATTTTCAGTTCCACCCTGAGAGCTTGTGTGTTCGGCGACAGGCCGAGGATGACTCCCGTCGGATATTTTGAGTCCACTGTTAGGCGCGATGCAGCGCACATTAATACGTATGTAAGCTGGTATCGTGGAGCCTGTATATTCGCGTTCGTTTCGCTCGCTCGTTCGCTCAACTAGCTCTCGCTCGTGGCCGTGCCCGTCTATTATTAGTCGACAGTCATCGGAGTCGGCTGTAACGCGCGGCCGAGCCACAACGCGGAAAAAGCTGGAAGAAAATTCGACAAGAAAACGCGGATCCCGCGAGATTTTCCGTGTGGCACGTGTTCACTCGACCGGGCTAGCTTGTTTCTGCCGGCCACCTCGGCGTTCGTGCCGCCACTGACACCCTCACGGACAGAGGATTTCCATCCGACGCTATCTCGACGCCCTTGGAAACGATGATTTTCGCACGATCTTCAATGTGAGTCCCACCAGTTCGCTCGGTACTGCGTCTTTCCGCCTCGGCGACCCCTCGATCACCGCTTCCTTTGTTGCACACGTTCTCCGCGAGCGGATTCTGCGAACTCTCTTCCTAGCTTAGTTAGAACGTCTTCAAAAAATGCTCCTATTTACGATCTCTGGTAATCCTATTCATTCTCATCTCGTAGCTTGTGTGGATGACACAAGTCTTTTAATTTGGCAGCAGGATTCGTTTTTTTGGAGTTATAGATGAAAATATTACAGGAAGATCTGTCAAATTCACAACGTAGAGAGGGTTGGTCTATTTATCTTTTTAAGGAATCTTCATACTCTTTTTTTCTATTTGGTAAACTGTTTGCAAATTTTGTCACCTTCGTTGAACAATCTTTTTACATTGTAATGAAGATTGGTTACACAAAACTTGAAATCGATATCTTTGTTACTTTCGTTCGAAAATATGTTCAAAGGTCGCCTTTGTGATGGAGAGCCCTTAGCTCATCAAGACACGCATGATTCTTTGGTCTATTATGGTTCATTCAAGTTCTTATTGGGCTTCGTGAGAAGACCTCAAGGCAGTTGGTGATAGTTGACCAGTGGGAGAACTACTTTTTATATTTATACACCTTCCATGTGTGTTGAATTGTAGAGGATCGTTCCTGTGAAATTGACCCTGATTGGAGTCCTAATTGCTAGCGGTAGATTTGGTCTTATTTGGAAGACCGCATGGTGGAGTAGGGTAATTGATTGGGAGGCATTTTCAATTGTCATTGACAGAAGTTCGTTGGGATCGTTTATATCGTGTATAAAAATGCGACTTTTTAATTATTATTCTAGATGAGGGATGCGGTTTCGCAAAAGGGAAACAATAACAGTAATAATAATAATAATAACAACAACAACGTAACACCCTTGAAAAACAAGCCTTCCTTGGTGATTTATCGACCCCCAGGTTTGTAGTGGGATCATAGTTATTTTGCGCTATTTATAAATACAATAGGGAAAGCAGTGTTTCATAAGCAATGAGAGTTGAATATTTTCTAGGCGGAAGAACGGAAGGAGCCACGGCGAACGTTAGTAATCCAAGATTGAACGTACACGCGAAGGAGTTCACTATGAAGCAGAACGATTCGCATCCTTCTAAGTGAGTGTAAACTACTTAGAAAACGGTCGGAGCACCGTCGACTTATCGGGAACAGCTGTGGCAATGTCTAGAAAGCTAAGAAATATAGAAATCCTCCAAACTCGATTAAATAGTTAAAGTCTGCCAACGGGAAAAAACTTGGAGGAGATCTTACTTCGATGTCTAATCTTTAAAAACCGTTTGTTAATCTTTTATATGGCGTAAACGCAGTGAAAAGATCACAGGCGACTCCGAAAAGAGGCTTGCCGACTATCTTGTGCAACGCGGACGTTATAGATTTAATATTTGGATCAGATTGTGAGGTGAAAGACGGCGTGAGATTATGTCAGCAAACGGCAGCGGTTCGTTTTAACGAACTCTTCCATTTTTATAGTTAAAAATTACGCGCGGAGTAAACAAACGATTAGAAAATAGTCTTGAGCACACGCATCGTTTTGCATTATAGCAACTGATTCTTAATGAAGTTTCTTGATGCAGGTCTCGGTCGAATGCTTCAGAACGATCCCCCTATTATCTGCAACACAGCAAGTCGAGCGGCAACGTGCACCGATATTTGTACGCGCAGCAACAGCAACAGATACAACATACTCTACAGCAGCAGCATCAACATCATCAGACATCGCGACACGCGCAGGGTGGTCATCATGCGACCGTTTCGGCGCTCAAACAAACACACCCGCTTGACAATTCAACGTCCAGCGGAAATATTATACACGTAGGCGGAAACTTTCAGATCTTACGCTGCCCAGAACGTGTCTTACCTTCCAATAATTGATAATAACACTGCGGAGAATTTGAATTTAACTGCGAGCAAATAATACTGCACACAAACTTGATTAAACAAGCAATGAGATTAGAATAAAAATCGCCTGTCGAATACTTGAACACATAAAAACATAAAATTTTGTTGAACAGTGTCAAGTGAGAGAGAGTTGACTTCTACCGGTTTTACAGGGCTCCGGTAGGGTTCATTTCAGTATGGACCAGAACGAGGTCAAACCGAATCCAAGTAAACCTGGCAGGCTCACCAAATCGTTGTCCTTCGTGTCTACATATGGTTTGAAGCGATCGAAGAGCCTGAACGCGGCTGATGTGTTGGCTGCGAAGGCGGTAAACATCTCAGATGCCTCGGAGTTAGGGAAATTCCCTGCAGCGATCCAGGATACTCTCCTGAGAGCCATCGATGGTAGAAATATCAAATTTCTAATGAAATGTTACTAGTAAAACCCGTAGCGGAACAAAATACTTATTGATTATTTCTGATTAAATTAGATCCAAACCTGTTGAACGCAAGAGCGTTGATGGAACTAGTACGACATATATTGGAGAGGGTTGTGGAAAACCGGAAATACGCGGAACCGGCGGCGAAAATTTGTATCACCATCATAGAGGTTGCCAACTGTTTTTAACACTTATCCTACTTAATATTTGCAAATTTTAGTAGTCACTAGGGTTTTAAATGTTTACTAGTCAGTAAACATTTGTCAAAAACAAATGATTGTTTTTGTTACTTACACTGTTATCTACTGTTCTCAAGTTCAATCTAATTATCGATGCAGAAAGAAGCTAAGGAAACGTTCCTGGAGTCCTTGTTGAACACGTGTCAACAGTGGTATCAGGATCGTGTCAAGATCCTCTATGATGGATCGAATTGTCATCGTTACTCCGCCTTCATGACGTTCCTCAATGAGATGTATTGTCAGGTAGGACACACATGGATGTTTCGCTTGTGAAAACAATGTCTATCAGATACAGACTTCTAACAATACCTGACTCACGAACACTGTTACACGATGTTTTCTTGATCCCGTGATTGATCACGTTGCCCGACCTTGTCTCGCTCAACAGATCATTCAATATCTTTTTGTTGCTCGAACGTGAGTCGAAATGATTAATACATCCGTGTTCATACATATGCATGATTCTGATTACAGTTGAAGCGGAGACAGCTTCAGTTAAAGACACAACAGGAGGGCGTTCCTCCCGGACGCGTTCTCCTCACATTGCTCTGGAAGTGTTGTCAGGACTGTCTGCAGCCTCCTGTTGTCAATTCCTTGGCAGAGGTGAGTTCAGGCTAGCTAGACTAATAGTCTTTTTTTAAAGGATTCGAGAAAATTAGTACGAGCACGGCTTCGAGGAAACTTAATCCCTTTTTGTCAGAGATTTAAGTACTGACTGTTCCTTTTTTTGCCTACACTTGAAATAAGTTCTAGTTATTGTGCTTAAAAAGAAGCAACTGCAGCTGAAAGTAAGCATTGTTTTTTGTTTCGAATAGACGGATTGCCTGTTCTTTATTTTGACGTGCATTGGCAAGGATTTGGACACCGAGTTGCCGGCTCAACTGCAACAACTGCTTGGAAGCTTGAGGGATGCGTTCCTGGCGGAGGACACCATCTTGCCGTCGGTCAGGAAGACCCTACTGCAACTGATCGAACTTCACGCCGCCCACTGGCAACTTCCGGCACCGGCGGTCGTCTACTATTACCCGGGATCGACCTCGAAATGATCCTTCGCCGTCTCGGCTCCTCCGTCCATTCGTCGGTTCTGTGCGTGCGCGCATCATGTACGTGTGGAGTTGAGCGAGCATATAGCGGGTGGAACAAATGCGGTGACCTTCGAGCGACCTCGCGCTCACCACTTCTACCTGTCCCAGAAACTAGTCAACTCGAAGCGCTGGGGTCCAAGGGAGTCTTTGAAGGGTACTCTACCATTCAACAGCGTACAGGTTCGCTACATTTGTTCCAATCGAGCATGCGTGCGGTTTAATGGGGGCTCCTTGTACTTGAATGCATCGGCTGCCGATCATGCGAATAAAAATTAAACGAACGCCGCTAGGCCCCGGGCTAAAGGAGCCGCGCGAAGGTAATCGATCGCCCCGAGCGACTCGATGAAGGCGAGATGCTCTTGCAACCGTTGATCGTGCATTGAAAATGATACTTACGCGAACTCACTTGTTTTCTTAAATGTTGTACTCTGAATAAAATTGAAACAGCTCATCCGACGTTCATCTTGAACGATGAGCCAGATATTTCTCACTGGTCTATTTCATATTGCACTAATTATTTTGATCAGTGAGTTGTACATAATTTCTACAACAAATTGTAGTTATTGAGAGTCTGTGCGGAGATCTCCATGATCTTGAATGACTAGAACGATTATGCAAAATTTCGTTTATGGGAGATTTTATGAAGCTTTTTCTTTGCTGAACGTTGCACGGCGGTCGCAGAAAACTCATAAAAGTTTACTCTCAGAAATACGTCCGAAGAGAGTCCAGTAAAAAAATTACGTTACCAGTTTATAACGGCTGGGATAAAAACTTTCGGGACAGACCAAATAAAAATGTTTCATTCACGTGATCTCATGTCTCCATAATTCACTGAACTCGCGACGAAGTGGCTCCGAAATCACGGCGAGAAGCGAAACCTTTGTTCGACGAACGATGCGTCACGTCAGCGAAACAAGCAACCGTGATCTCGCTGTTACCGAGAACGATTGTTCGCCGTCATCGCAAGATTTAACAACTAAAGAAAACGATTATTATTGCGCATCCCTGCGAGGAATGGTGCAAGACTCGTCGATACCGGCTTAATATCCAGATTAATATCCATTCTGGGAACTCCGAAGATTAGCCGTTCGAATTAGAAACGATTTCGTTAGTAAGTCAATGGGTTAAGAAATCGGGACACCCGAGACCGGTACGGTGTTTGTCTTGGCCGAAATTATCACGTATCGCCGGTGAATCCGAGAGTGTTCACCTCAAGAGCAGAGCAGGATCACGGTTAAAGTCGGGCATTGAAAGTTATGAGCTCCAAACTAAAACCATGTCAAAGGCTCTATACTTCGGAGAATGAAAAGGACTTTCTGTCGAGTTTGATTTCACGTTAGCACAGTTTTCTGAATTCTTGGACACGTTGAATTCTTGGATTCTTCTTTAACACGTTGGCCGCTTTGTCAGACTGTACATGTCACTTAGCGCGTTCACAGTCTAGACGTCTGTAGGGAAAGACAATAACTTTTTAAGAGCGGTAACAAGCTGTCTTCTTTCGAATACATTATCCTGTGTTATACTACTAGTTTCGAGAAGGCTCTCGGGTTAATCTTACTTATAGTATTTGTCTTGAATTATGTGTGACTAACTCGAAACCACCGTGACTCGCTTATGGGACATGGGACTGTGAACATGTTAAGATAGCATATAAATGGCAGATTTTAATGCCGGATTAAATTTTGCTAGTAAACAAATTAAATGTCAACGGTAGTCAACGTGTTAGTCTCTGCGACTGTAAACCGTGATAGTAAGACGCTCGATGGAAGGTGTGTGCGACACGAGCAGTTATATGTCTATAGTACGGAGGTTCGACGAGGTCTCGAAGGTTCCCTGGAATCTGACTCGAATTTTCCTCGGCTTTTTCCGTAATCACCGAACGAACATAATTGAAAGAAAAACGACCCTCTCGTGGAACGATCCGAACATGCTTGCGATAGCACACAGTGTCGACTGCGCGTGACCGTAGCTTCCGGTATGACCTGGGTGCTTTAAACCCAAGGATACTCCTCCTTGACGTCTTCCGTATGATACTCGAGCGACGTAGTAGTGACTGTGGATAACTTAAACTGAAATACAGGTGCAACGATTTGTTTTAACATTCTGTTCCTTTATTTTAATTATACAATAATGCGGACACTCTTGATTTCAGATGGAATGTATAGTGAATGCGCATAGTTTGCGACACGAATCGAAGAAGACGTCGATGGAGAGCGACCGAGCAGAGAGACGCGAAATATACCTTTAATAAGGAATACGCGCCTGTGATCTCCTTCTCGAAATGCAATCGCCTTTGCCGATTCGTGCCAAGGGCGATAAAAATCGCCTGGAAGCCACGGTCTGTCTCTCCTTCGCCGTCTCTCTTCCTCTAACGACGTTGACTCACGATGCACGCCTTTACGGAGAATGTCTCTGCCCAACGTCCCGTTCACGGACCCTGCCAAATTTTTCAAATTCCTTTGTCGGGCATCGCAACACGCCAAATTTTTTCTTATAGGAAACTGGTTCTGACATTAGCGGTCGAAGAGGACAACAGTCATGTTATGAACCTGTCGTGCTTTTACCTCTTGGATAGCGACGCTGGGGACCATTTAGGATCTGAATTTCTAATAAGGATATTGTTGCATCTCTGAGAAGAATGAATAGGCTTAGAATTAATTTTTGTGCTCCATCAACGGTAATTAACTACAGATTGGCACGTAATGTTCCCGAGTTGTTACTGACCTCTAGGTAATCACAGTTTTGAAAAGGCAAGCGTGAGTCGTGGCGTCTCCACCCAAACTAGCCCAGGGTTAACCGGAGGTCGCAATCAATCATCTACAATCTCCGACAATCTATTTTTCTCAGAAACTCCTGTCTAATCCTCCTTTTCTGTACTTTTAGGACCTATCCCAAAACGACCGAATAACACGCCCAGGTTCTAACGTCCGAGCAAATTAACTTTTTAAGGACACCATGAGTCACCCAGTTTCCATTGAACGACTCAAGAATCACCGTGTCACTCTCCACTACACTGCACCCAGGTACCCAACCGACAAAACATCCTATCCGAACTGCGCGCTTCCACCACATAAACCAATCTCCCTGATCAAGGTCACTGCTTCCATTCCAATCCGTGTCGAGGATCAGCTGAACGTTCTCCGAAGCGGTCTTCCGCAGGTCGAGGCGTCGCGGTAGCACGCGAGAGCGTCACCGGTACCGATTCATCAACCGGATCACCAGGATGTTCGGCCGAGGTGTACGAGTCGGCAACGTCCGGCGTCGACCTTGAAACCCGCGCGGGTCGGAGAACCGAGAGAGGTTTTGCCTTGGGTAATCGGTGCCGCGGACTCGAAAACTAGGCCTGCGCCCGCGGTGACGTCGCCGGTCGGTGCGTCGCGATGTACATCGTCCTACCGTGGAACGGTGTAAGAGGGGGCCCGATGGGGACCTCGAGGTACACGCGAGCCTGTGAACAGCGGGGAGAGGGCAGAGGCGACGTGCGTTCGCGGTAACGAAACAAATAGGCCGGCGACTTTCACCGCGTAGCCAAGAACGGCTACGACACACAGACAGCCAGCCGAGCTGAGGTGAGCTCTTGGCCCAAACCTTTCCACGGTGTTCTCTGAGATAAAGACTAACTGGACAAACCGTTTCAGTCTTTTCAAATTCAGAAGACAAATTCATGTTTCTGTGGCCGGCAAGTACAGAGTCGAACTTAGAATTATCGGTGTGGTCTATCTTGGAGAAATATTTATAGTGCTACCAGAGGTTGGCTAGAAATTCTACATAGCGAAACAATTGAATTACATGTAATTTAAAGCGTATTGTCTCTTAATTGGTCTCTGGAGCAAAGGCATCGCTATTTTTGTTCAGTACTGGCAAGCTTCAAAGGAACATTTAAGAGCACAGGAAGATTATTATCGTCATTCCTTCGATTTGAATTTTGGGTTTTGTCCAGCCAGCCTGGACGCTGTTCGAGACACAGTGCTGTCGTCGTTGTGAGCGTACCCTCGCTCGCCGTTCCCGTCGTGCTCCCCAAGTGGGGGGAATCCTGCTTGAGCTTGGAGCGGACACGAGGCACGGCATACCCCGAGCGAACGGGCCTCGATTCTTTTTCTTTCGGCCGCGTCGCACGTGTGTCGTCCTCTCGTCTCCGTGTCCCGTGTCTGAAGACCGGTGTCTCTGTGTTCACCGCGGTGAAAACCACTCTCGCGCGCGTCTGGATACCGAACGTTCCTACGTAGTCTCACCTAGTTGCTCGCATATTGCTCGCGTAACGTTGTGTATCGTGTCGCGCACGGGGCAGCATGCCTTTTCGCGGTCCTTTCTGAGAACCGGAGAGACGTTCGCGGTTCTAGAAGAGATGTTAGAGCTGCTGGTGCCGTTAATATGACGCGACGACCGCCACCGGGACGAGACCTGCGACTCTGCGCTATTGCCTGGCTACTTTGGTGTGTCTTGCCTGCTGGGACCGGTAGGCGTTCTATCTTCTGGCCTCTAACAGCTCGGCGACCCTCCTACGATCCACTCGTTTGCACGCGACCGGACTCCCACCGAAAGTGAAAATAAGGCTTCCGTTCAATCGTCGCGTGCAACTTCCGTCCTCTATCCAGGACTCCTTCGTGCTCCGTTTCGCGTAGGGTTGATTGTAAACGGTAGCCGTCGTCGTTATCCGCGATACCTTGTAACAATCGGAATGCTATCTCGCGTGTAACATTGTTGGCAGATTCGTGTTACAGTGGGTGTACAGTTATATGAGTAGATGTGCTATAGACGCAGCGAGTTTGCTGTCGAGGATGGTCTGCTGATTTGAAAGTAGGCCTCGTTGTAGACAGTGTTTGAAGATCGGTTTTTGTCCGTGTAATCTATACACTATCGCTAGATTCATGTTGCAATGCAAGCATACGTACAATGAAGTGAACAGCGGTCAACACGATGGATGCGTATAGAGGTGTACTCGTGTACACCGTGTTTGGTAGAAAGTCTATTTTAAGACTATATTCCGGGTCACAGCATATTCCTTATCACTTTCTACTGAAAGCTTGACCCAGAGAAAGTGGAATGGGGCACCTCTGTTCTCTATTTATCTGTGTAACCGATCCCAGACGTCGCTGAAAGGTTTCAGGCTCGTGTAGTTGATTACAGATTCTTGTTTTAGTTTATTTTCAATTAGCAGAGATTTCCTGGCTTTTGCAATTAATTTTGCAATAGGTCGAAGTTTAGTGTTGTCGAGAAAGTTCAAGTTCCGCCGAGGACTCATCCGAAGTCGAATGACTGAAGTTCAATGTAGTGTAGAACTGTTCCAGTGATACAAGGCTAATATCCTATTGTATTCGTTGCAGTTCTCACTCGCGAATTAGAAGCCGATAGCCGGATCTCTTTCGGTATCTCAGCTGCGATCATACTAATTTATGCGCATACCAGATCCCGCGGACGATTAACGTTGCCCGAGGTACACGACGACCGATCGATCGTCGAATGATTAATTTGAGACAGGCGGTCCGACGATGATCGATCAAGTAACTCGTAAAGTAAAATGGCTTAATCCAAGCGATTCTACGAGCGCGGCGAATGTGTCGATTCAAGATTTTGTGTAATTGACGGCCGCGAACGACGACGATCCTTGCACACTGCTGCTGTCGCCGTCGTTTATTTTCAATGTTAGAGGAGCATCGATTGTTAGCATTCCTACGGTAGAAATTATGCTTTCTTGACGAGACGTTCTCGATCTCAGCGGATACTTCTTCTTCTCTTCCAGGAGTGCTTCACAACTATGCGGACAAGCAGAGGTACGATGGATGGTACAACAATCTGGCCCATCCGGATTGGGGATCGATCGGCAAGTATTCCAAACTGCACACCATCTACGTTTCAATTCATTTAAACGGATGTGGAGTGCGGATTTTCACGCACATTCAGGTTTTCATCGAAACTCACTGCTTTGATAAACATTTTTGTTAGATACTAAATTTGAGTTCACATTTTTAGCCTCTGGACGATGGTGTGTAGGTTCGTTTTGATTCTGCTATTCAGAGACTATTGTCCAGCAATCATTCCACTCAAGCATAAATAACTTCAGTTGGATGAACCAAATTTTGCATCCACCAAAAGAAGTTGGACAAAATTAGTAAACCGAAATCTCGTAGACTCTCATTATGAAATATTGATTATGTTGCAATCTCATAATGTCCTCAGATTAACAGCGAATGAGGAAAAAGTCAACGCGATCTTGACCGAACGTGAATTCGTAAAATAGCTAAAAAAGCACGTTGTATCGTGAAAGATGTGATCAGCCTCGCTAACAGAGGTGTTACGGTTCTTTGGACATGAAAATTGTTTGGTCGCACCAACACCGGTCATTGTAACACGAATGACAGTATTAATGCCCACTTCAAATAATTATGAATTGAGAGTGAAAAAATCATTGCACAGCTCATCCCAGAACCATTTATTTTTCTAAAGATCGTACCAGCAGTTTCATCATATGTGGATACAGCTTTGTAATTAGTTATTATGTGGCAAGTTTATGCTTAAAATCATTACCAGATATTGTGAAACCGTGTTACGTACTCTTCTCTAAATTTTGAGTTTAGAACGGCGTGAAGAAATTTGGTAATTAAAAGTAGTCCGCTTGCGAAATGTCCTCCGTATTGTCTGACCAAACACATCATGTAGCACTGAAGTAGGCTTGAATATTATAATTTTAACAAAATTGTTGCAATTCCAAATCGTAGAAATACTCACAAATAATACTATCATCAACTAATTATTAGAGAATGAAAACAATTTCTGTGCAGTGATGATTTTAGGAATAACGTTTATACAATAGAAGAACGTGTTAAACAATGTAAGAAATTAACATGTTCGCTACCAACGTCATACGTTTATAACAATTCTGTGTTAGAATGTGGCTACTGTGGATGCGTATTCGTACGAACTTACAATAAGAACTAACTAACTTCTGACACGTCGTTCTACACGTCAGAACAATCAATTGTATAGATTCTTATGTTAGTGGTTACATTGAATGCGTTTCCTGAGAACAAAAAAATCACGAATTCGTCAAAAAAACACCAAGCAGAGAAACACCAAGGACAATACACAGGACAATAATAAAGATAATGCGGATTATAATTTTATGTTATGTTTGGTTTCTTTCCTTCGGAAAGTACTAGACGAGAAAATTTATAGTACAACAGACATTTTACGATGAGGAAATGCGAGAACAGAGAACTAGTTGTGCAAATTTTATATAATTTTTAGTTAC